TCCTTCACAGAGAGGCGATACAGATACATACTGTTCATCAATTTAACATTGGTCGAAACTTGAAAGATACTGATATCGGGTTTTGTTGAATACAGTTAAAATAAACCTTATATCTTATTTCATTAGTTTACGACTCCCAGAAGTGTTAAGAGTCTATTTCATGTTTTTATCTAGAGGTTTGTCACTAACGCATGGTACGCCATTGTAAAACCAGTAATGGTAGCTGTAGTGTAAAATTATATCATATCTCTTCCAGACATTTACTATCGTACATCTAGCAAATAGTCTAGATATCGAGTTCTTTTCTCAAATTTACCATTATCGTTCCTTTGCTCCACATATGTGTTGCTTCAGTGGACAACTACGAATCTATCAGTTGTTGATATTAGACAATATTATATATATTTAGCCAACTAAACACCAGGTGGACCATTCTATTAATTTTACAAATCAAGTCTTTATTCTTAGATGAAGCTTTTCACGGCAGTCTTTTAAAACATTTTGTATCACTGATTGAAATCATTTACATGTATAATTGTTTTATTATTGAGACAAGGTTTTTGGTTCAGTAGTTCAGTTCAGGTTAGGTGTAGAGACGAGGATTTTAGGTACGATAAGTTAAGTTTTTGGATACGTTTCATTAAACGCCAAATAATACTACTTTATAGTGAACGTATGAAAAATTCTAAAAACTATACTTTGATCTGCTTTATATTTAGTTCAATTCAAGATTCAAGTATTTTTGAAAGCTAATAAATCTGATTTCAAATTTTCATATTTTTCTCTTCAGATTTATTGATTTTCGGCAGAACTATTTTTGAGCACTAATGGTAATAACTAAACATTGATTTTATATTCTTCCAATATTGACCATTTCTGTATGATCATTTAAATCTGATGTATCTGATGTAAAATATCCGAGACATATTTGTAACAAGTGTAGCAGAAATGCCAAGCAATTAATCGAGATTTTTTCTTCTACTTATGGCTATCTCGAGAAATAGTATTTTTTTGTTACAGTTATATGTTAACATTTTATTTTTGCGGATTGGTGCCACCTGTAATTGTGCTGAAAATGAACCTACATTTAAATTTTCTCAAAAATATAGCCTACAGTTGAAAGCAAACATTGTTGTGAACTGTCCACTTTGCTAAGGAGCTTGTTGTACTGAGAGTCTATTTGAATATCATAGATAGTGACAACCAATCAGCAAAGTCCATTAGCATGTTAAAGAACTTTCGTTTCATAGCTGTGTGGTAAAACGACAAACGACCCGATCTGATCCCTTAGAAAACGAACCATATCAAAAAAGGTGTAATGTGTATGTTTGTCATATCTTACTTATGGAATATAGCATACACACTTTATCTCCCAGACGTTCTCAAAGCTATAAATGGCACTTAAAATATCTAATTCTTTTTATCGTGCCAGACGATGTTGATATGTAAACGGTCCGTGCATTCAAGTGATTTCATAATTTTAGTCCAGACAGGAGAAAAGTGTACTGAAGACGCAATTGTTTTAACAACAGTTTGGCAATGCTGCCTGTGAAAACCACGTGTTGTGTAGCACACTACTGCTAGTTTGGCCTAAGCTATACTTTTGTCTTCCAATATCAACTCATGATATAGCATGCAGCCAAGTGCTTTGGACTATCACAGACAAATTCTGGTGTCTTCTGTCCTAAATCTGATTACGGTAGTATGGTACTTTCTAACCGTGGTTATTTCACACCATACAATTTATCAGCCTTTATATAGGTACGTGCATATTTCATGTTTACTTCACATATGGTAAGAATAAAGTATATTCTCCAGAAGTATATGGCAATATAAACTATTAACTTCATTTATATTTAAACAATTTCGAAACAGGTTGTCAGCTTATATTCATCACTCTTGCCTGCAGGAATGGAAGCGGGCGAGGTGTAAAAGGCAAGTGTGTAATCACTGCTTCATCCAACCACCCAAATATGGTTATATCTCTAACGCTTAATGCAGTTTTGTTGTGAGAAATACTAAACCATAAAAAGCACGTAATACTCAACACTTTCGGTGGATTTAAACTTGATTTAAGGATAAGAACTAAGAACTACTATCTGCTACTACATAGTTCTTATATTGGTTAAGATTTCAGTAATATTGCTAACAGCGTGAGGGGATTACTGACTATATTATTTTAATAGTTGTGGTTCATTCAACCAAGAAACTAAGTTCTTCATTTTTAAAGTATTAGGAAAATTGTTAATAAACGCAAATTCAGCATAATTTTTATTTGCCACCAAGCGGCGACTGTAACCTTGACATGGCTTTTCCCCCAGACTAAACATATTGACGTTCTATGCTTCTGCTAATTCTTTTCGGTTCTTTAATTGTGTTTCATTCAGCCATTGCCTACTAAAATGATAAAACTCTCTACACTGATATTCTTTAAAAATTTCTACTGAAACGGCTGTTCAAGAGGGTAAAGTTTTCGCTATTTTCGCGCATGCAATAAATACAGATACCGTGATTATATTATATATAGTGTAATGTGACGCTACCAAAAACGACAGCAATTTTCAATGTTTTACCTTAATATTTCGTTTGCCGTGGATAAATTCCAAATGTTTGTTTTATTTTGGCAAAGAGTGATCAAGAACTTGTGTTGGTTTACCTTTAAGAGAAGTTTATTAATAGAACGGTATGGGATGCCGTCACTTCCGGCATCAAACAAGGCGTGTGTGCCAAAATTTGATACCTTGTAGGAAAAGAAGATAAAACAGACACCACAACAACTTACTCTGTCGAAAGTCATGATTTTCCAGCACAAATGAGACGTCAGTATATATTTTGAACCATATCATATTGATTACCTCATAATTACACTGTAAATATGGAAATGAAGATAGGCGCTCCGTGCGCAGTAGCAGCTGTACACAGATCGATGTTACGTAACATACTGTTCACAACGCATAGGCATAAATGTACTCATGAACAGCAATATATTGTGAAAGTCGACAGATAGCGGACGCCGGACGACGGACGCCGCGACATACCTTAAGCTCACTTGGCGCTTCGGCCAGATGAGCTTAAAAAACGTTATTTTTATTCTGACCAGCGTCTTGTCTAGATGTAGGTCCCTGCAAATCTCTAAACACGTACACCTTAATTTCTGTAGTAGTATATTATGAAGATTTCAGTAAAAGAAAAAATACCTTCTACATAACGTTCATTAGAATCTACTTTATATTATTATGAAATTGTTGGTGTCAGTAAATAGGGAAAAAACATTATTTCAGAATTCATTATTATCTACAGACAATCAATTATTTGATTTTGTAGCTTAGCAAAAGCAGCTAGCTCTCTTGCCACGAAGAGCATATCCGGATTTTTTCAGGTTACCTTGCGTGTTTTAGTGGCGCCATGCGCAGATAAGCGTAAATAAGATGGTTGAGACGACAACAGCCGTGGCTCGTCGATACAAAATCCTTAGATATTTTCTAGTTTATTATGTAATAACAGATTTCTTGGTTACGTTTAATATGCCCATAAGGACTAGAAAAATACCCGTCGCAAGACCGTATGATCTGTGATATGAACATTTATGACATTTCTGCCCATTTCAAAAAAGTCTTGTAGAGAATCTTAGATTCGTTGTACAATAAATACTTAGATGCTGTTTTTTTTTAAGTAATCAGTGTGAATTCCTGCATATCTCATTCGCAAGGGTTGAAAGACACTTTTTCCGTGAAAGGTATCAATTTGGGTAGCGTCACGTTAAATCCATTATTCGAATATTGAATTTCATAGAGAAAATACAGTTAGCTACAAACTTTATCAAAATGTTTGAAAGTTTTAAACCTTCGAAAAAAACATTATTTACATAATCTGAAATCCAACCTAGATCGGTTGCTAGGAATACCAAAAGAGTTGCTATAAATAGAATAAACCGTATTTCGTTACTCGCGCTCAGTGAAAAAAGTCCAGTTTTCTAAATACATGTAAAACTTTGAAAATAATACTTTCGAAAAAAACATCCTTTACAGAATCAAGAAATATAGTCTAGAGATCGCACGCTTGGAATATCAAAAAAGTTCGTTTCTACGCCGAACTAAGCGTCGTTAGAGGCGCGAAGATTCAGGGAGAACATCCTACAAGAAAGACTGCTCTTGGAACGGCCACAAACTAATAACATCAACATCTTGAGTGAACCCACGCGCGGGAGTCTGTCATGTAACATTAGGGGAATTGGGCGTTTAAGCGTAATGGGGAAACCCCATAAAGTCTATTAATGAGAAGTTACCACGTCGTTATAACCTGTTATGTAATTATGTAAACAAAGTTACTGGGCTTGATCGAAATCGTTGTTGATAGGAACATGTGTCAGACAATGTTTTATCTTAGACTGAACATTAAGTCTCTATAACAACATTTCAGCTTCCATTTTTCTTAATATTGCAGTTAATTTAATTTTTTTAATGTCTTTCTCTTTAATAACGACAAATGGTTAAATGTGACTAAACAACGGAAGTTTATAAAATGAAAAAAAAATCATATAATGAAATATTGTTTTAGAGACTCGTGTATACCTTTGACTTTAAAGTTTAACATACTTACATTGGTCTATTTTTAAAATACCGTTAATTCTATTTTACTTCCTTGAGCGATCATCCGATACAACATCAGAGGAAACAACATGATGTTTTATCATCGCAATTATAGATATATTTGATCCTTGTTTTTGTCGTCTTTGTTGCCATCGATCGTCGTTTAAAACCACTCCGTCTGTTTCTCCTTGTTTAACGGTTTAGTATCAAATGATCTCTCGCCAAACCGACCCACAATGACCATTATTTTCTATTGAAATAAGACATCTACAAGGTTGTTAACTAGCTTGTGATTGGTCAACTGTTGAAGTGGAGCCTAAATCACGGACACGGCGGCGTCACAACCCGTTCCAGATCAATACCGACTGCGAATGAGTTAGAGAAATATCAGTGAGAGAGACGTGACCAAATTGTTTGGGAGATCGTATCGGGAGGGAAAGGATATTTACGCTCACGTGCATTAGACCAGACTTTCTCTCTCACAAATAGTTTACGTAAACCGCTGCACTGTTTGAGAGGTCGGTATTTGTGTATTGGGATCGAGCCAGGTACAGTCTAGTAATGCGTTCTCTGCGATCTGTAGACATGTTAACTAGCTTTTAGAAGAATATTGTGTCCTTAGTTTCAGTTAGATGTCATGCAATATTTGACCATCCATATTTCACAACTAAAAAGAATTATTATACTCATTTGGAATTAACTTAAGTATGCTTATGATTTATATAATTCCAACAATGATGTTACGTTTTCTTCAGTATAAACATATTTTATAGAAGTTTAAAGCGGTATAACGCAGTTTTACTCATAATCTCGCACAAGTTTTATCTAGTACAAAATTTACTTTTGCCATCTGTACAGTCTTCATTGAAGTTGAAATCGGATTTGCTTAGTATTGATATATCATAGAAATAGTTTACATCTTTCTATAAAAATCTGCGGTAAATGACCATTTACGCAATCGGATTATTTAACAGTTATATATATCTTGGACTTTTCTTGAATTTATTCACATTTGACTACCGATTACATATTCTGATGTGGATGAGTTAGACGAAGTGTAGACAATAACAACTTGTACATACATAGAAAGTACAGGACTGTTCATGTGATATGCCTGTAAACTTATTGTGCTGAGATAAAACACGATTACGGTTATTTATCACCTAAAGAATATTTAATTTTCATTAATTTGATCATCTTTCTGACAAAATATCTGTGAGGTTGACATTATCTTATATTGCAGACAGAGTATAATCATCATCATGGATTCAAATAACTTGTGGAAGATGCTAGTGGGTGTGGCTTTCTCTCTGATGGTGGTTGGAGCACAGGATCAGATTGAGAGTGTAATTGTAAGTATTTTAATATTTTATAATCACAAACTCTCTATAGATAACATATTTGCTTCAATCTGATGTTCGCATTGTGTTTGTGATATAAAAGGTTTCTACATCAAATCACATTAGTCAATTACCATAAGATCAATGTTATCAGTATTAAAATCTTCGCGAATCATTCTTTATATCAATCAAAATGAAAATTCATTTCTCACCAAAATTAAGTGATTTGCAGTTCTTGAAATACTATGGGGTGCTAAAAAATCAACCTCGTAATTACTATCTGTTTATGTCTAAATTGGAGCGTTCCGTAAGGTACACTTCTATATAATGTATTATCTACAAATGTCATTTGTAGTTTTGGAAATGTTAATGTTAACGTTATATATATATACGCATGGACGATGTTTCTTAAATAGGAAATTCCTGAAAATTATTTTATTTATTTAGAAAATCACAAAATCTATTCAGATTGAGTACGACAGCACCAAGTAATCAAGGAGTACAATTTTGTTAAAAATAGAGTTAATCACGTCATCACGCCATCACAAAAACCAATAGTGTTCTTTTAATAACACAACGAGAAATTGACTGTGAAATGATGTAATGATAAGGAACATTTGCGGCGTGGAAGCTTTCTCAAAATCCAAGTCAGACAAGCGTTTCGTTTACTTTCTTTTAGATAAATTCAACCTAAAAGTCTTTAGATTTTGCAAAAATAAGACATTCGTTTTAAAAAAGGAATTTGAGTAAATGAAAATTTTCTGAGTAAATATAAGCGGTAAATACGTCATGTTGTCAAAGTTATTTAGGATACAGACAATCAGCTGTTTCTGATGTACATTTCATTAGGAAGACACTAGTCACAATTTTTCATTCGTTAGTCTTTAAGTTCCAGTAAGCAGTCCAGCATAAAAAAACAATAAGTAAAGATAACGAAAATATTTAATTTTGTCTTCGACTTCTTAATAGACTTACCGTGCTATAAGATACGCGTTTTACTAACTTCGTTACATTGGTCTTCTAGATATGATTAATAAAACAGCCTTTTAAATGTTAATGTAATGTCACAGCGCTGTAACGATATATCTGAACTTCTATTATTAACTTATTAACTAATGTGTACAATGTTTGCGATAGCAGTTGGTAGACACTACTGGTGGACTTCCAATCCCCGAGGAGTGTCATAACGTGCATGTCACGTATAAATTCATTCAAATAGTGGCACGGTTCAGAAAATACACATGTACTGTATGCTGGTCTAAAACTATCTGGTTAATGAAAATTACGAAATCATATAATTATCGGGTTGCTGCTTATTATAAATGCGAAAAGAAGAACAAAATGTATTTTAATTTCTTTGTAAATGTAAAAGAATAAGTCCAGCTGCTTCGGAAGGAAAAGCGTCTTCTGCTTCATCGACGCTTCCTACCTTAAAAACCTAGGTCAAATGTAAGATATATTTGTTGTGAAATTGAGTGATATCTGAAGAACTAGGAACACTATCAAACAAGATAAGAGCATATCAACAAGGTTTTATTAGTGACCCTGAATACACCCATAAGCTTTGACGTCCCGTGTCTCCTGGAATCGTGCTGTAAATTTGTCCGTCAACACACGACATCTATTTTGAAAATCGAAATATCAAGAACAAACATTTGAGACAAAAGCGATATATAAATATATAAGCTAAACAAAATCATGATAAATTACAATAAAACTTTCATCAAGTAGTAAGGAAACATTTTGTAGGTAATATCAATAACATTTATTATAAACAAATGTTCATAACATAGGAAACATAATTTTATTATTTGTGTGTGTTTTCTGTCACACTTATCACATGGTATTAATGTTACATATCCATACTGTGAGTTATATATCACTTTTATGTATGAAAGGAACAGCCAAGTTCCAAGACTAAAAACAGAAAAATAAGAATTGGTCGAGATCAACAGAATGAAATGTATGGTATTTCACATAAATACATATCAACGTTATGTAGGCGTGTTAATTAAATGGTCCGGAATGGTAGTTCTATCGTGTCATTATCTACCTTTGGAGCTAGAAACCGAATTAAACATACACTTGTTTTCATTTCTCCTAAATTATGATTATCATTCTGTTGATAACATCAAATTACATTCGAACATTATCATGTTAACTACCTAACTTATTTTTTTCATAATCAGATGGAAATAATAACGATCTGTTTGACGTGTGTCCTAAGTAGATTAGGTAATATCGGATATCTTCGAACAAATGTAATGTTACTTACCTGCAATCAAATATAACTAAACGTTGTATTTATACTAAAGTATCAACCAATCCTGTCCTGAATGTATTTATTCGATATGTGTCTTTAAATGTGTCTAATTATCAAACTGTAGGAATCTGTCATATAACCTTTTTCACAAAGTCATTGGGAATGCAAAAAAAAGTCATACTCAGTATATCATATCTTAGATATTCAAGCTAAAATGAACGTATATTTAAGCATTAACACCGTTTTACTGGGTGATGGTAATGTTAATGTTGACATATGGGAGAGGGAGGATTCGCGGTTTATACGGCGGTAATGGCGATATTGCGTGTAAAATGTTAACTTTTAGAATGGAGACAAAAAGGTTTCATATGCAGTAACGGCAGCAAGACACCATTTTACATTCCAAACTTTTTTTTTTTTTTTTTCTAAATTGTACCTGAAACCATGAATTTTTCGTAGATAATTGTGGCGTTGCCGTGCTGATGTAAACGAACCGTTGGAATTCTGTAAAGATGACGTCATAGATACATGCTCATGTGACCCATTAAGATTGGACATATCGGCATATATCAGGATGGTAATATATGATATAATAATCGGTGAAATCACGTGATCAAATGATACCGCCATTTTATCTCTCAACTTAGGCACTAATTAAAGAAGCACGTAGGCTATTTATCACAGTAACAGTATCTGAGTCACGCCTGTGCAGCTGAAATCTGAAACCCTGTCAAATAACATTTTGGCGTTGTAACTTATCCTGTTCCATTTGTAATACTGCGTCATTCTTTTATAAAAACACCGTCTCTGGCCACACAGCAGTATACCAGATTAACCAGCTATGTGCTTTCATTCAGTTTGCAGAAAGGTTTGTCTTTCATATCTGAATAGAACTTAAAAAAATATCCCTATCAAACATGAAAAGAAATGTGATTCTAAGCTAGAATAAGATTTTCATGTCATATATTTCCGTCGGCTTCACTTTTCGTGGTTTAACAAAGATTCCTATTTTGAGAACACTCGATTTCTTAAGTAAACACAGCTCAATAAATCTACTCATACTAACTGAAATATGAAAGCCCACGAAAATTTATAGTGTTACAGTAACGTAAATTACGATGTTTTATCTTATTTGTCAAATCCTATCAAGAAGATTATTACCATTATCAATTCATTGGATAATGTCTTGCAGGTCTATTTTTCTCGTTTTGACTATCACAACAAGATCCCCTTTTCTTTCTAAATCTGAATGTTTGTTGCTGAAAATTAAAACATATTTATGTTTTCTGAAAGGTTTGTTACATAACAGTCGACTAAAAGTATCTACATACGATCTTCACACACGGTTTTTCATTCGAGTTATTTTTGGCAATACCGATGATGGTGGAATGGATTAAATGTACAGGGAACAACTGTGTTCCGAATTCCCCTCTCCACCGATTTACTCAAACTACAGACGTTTTCTAATATCTTTACCTGCGTGCTCCTTTTTCCTTGTAAATTGATTAAAATTGACTCCTCACGCCATCAGACTGACATTGATATCAACCTATTTGGGATCACCTCTTGCCCTTATTTTCACTGACGAGTCCTAGATGGACGAAACAGCTGCATGATATAGCACCACTGAAGAGTCATAGAAGGACAAAACATTAGTATGATATAGCATCACTGACGAGTCCTAGATGGACGAAACAGCTGTATGATATAGCATCACTGAAACAGCTGCATGATGCAATTTAATTAATTTTTTGACTCTACTGTATCTGATTTTTTAATTTGTGATAAAAGATACTGATCACTGGTGTGTCTTTTGTACAAATTTCAGTGATGAACGAAAAATAGAATCGTTCCCATTTCTTCCTCAGTAGAAAAGACGTTGGGTTAAAGTGTGTAAAGATTGCTACATCATGAATCAAACGTGAAGACAATGTACCAATACATGTTATCTTATTCAGCTTGCCAAGCTTTCCATTAAAGTACAAACAAACAGAGTACAAATTTGAAAACACGACTTCCATCAAAATGACGTTAAAATGATGGCGAGATCCAGTACATAGCTATTAAAACCGTGAATCTATTTGTGAATGACATTTCCTTTCACATTTCTCATATTAAACTTGTAAATATCAAATGAGTTGTTCCTACATGGTCTTTAGCGACTGCGTTATCAGCTTGTCCGCCATGAATCCCCTCCATCATGTAGAACTACATCCGAGAAGGAGTTTTCACGTTATTTATCATCATTATCCTCTGTTACAACTTAGACGAGCCAGTACTTTTATCTATACCTAACACATCACATGCTACTCTCCTGATTTCTTTTTTGTTTATATGTTTGTGATGACTGTTCGTGCTGTGTGCATACTGGTGCCAGTTTAATTTTATTTTACACGGGAAGTATTAGATGGAGCAGTGTGTTTGATATCATGACACATATGATACAAACACACGCATGTCTCACCCCTAACCACGTCACATGAACTTTGAGTTCACTGCTCAAATATCAACATTCACACAAAATTTCTAAACATCATGAATTAGGGACTCGGATAAAACAAACTAGTCGGGCTATTTTTAAAGTACATTAATGATTTTATGTTACGAAAACTGTGACCTAGCCGCCCTATATTTAGACTCGACCTTAAAAAATTGTATATCGTTACAGCATTCAGTTATCTTATCATTGTGACGTCATCCACTTTTGTCTTGAATGAAAATAAATCATTTGCTGGATACCCGTATCATCTGTCCTGGTTTTTAGCAGAAACATGAAGCGTTTGGTATAGTTAAATATTGTTTAACATCCTATTAAAGTTCATAGAGATGTTTTACATCATTTTCCGTTTTCCTTTATATAATATATATTTTTAATAAATACACATTTCCTTATGTTAGAAGTCCATAACTTTTATTGTTTGTGGTTTCAAAGACACAGCAAATTTAATAATCAAGTTGACGAAATCGACAGCCAGGAGCTGCATGACTTATAGAGCTATTTGTTGTTAATTACCATTGTTCTGCCTATTTACTCCTCGTAATGACTTAATGACGGTAATTGGAAGTTATTTTACGTCATTGTAATTTATCACCAGGCCCACTGTACTCTGCCATTTGTACCTATTGGTCTGGTGTACAAGCCGTGGTCGAGAGGTTGTTAGTTCTGTATCAATCATTCACTGGAAACGGTATTGTCATTTTTCATAAAAAAAACTTACAGACTGTTATTTCCTAATTACATACTGAACCAGACATTTAGCGGTTTTGTTCTTGTTTTTTTTTTTTTTGTTATTATAATTATTTTTTCAGTGGGGTTGAATTCTGATATTCCGTAACTTGATTCGGACATGTATCTTAATCTCAGGCGAAAACAAAAACAAGAACCAAAGATTACTTTTATATTTTGATAAATAACAGTACACCATATATTGTACAATTATTTCACTAAATCGGCAGATAAAAACTGTCAGTCTAGAATTCCAGAAAATACCGCCGTGACAAGGATAATGTACACTTTAACCATGAATTGAAACATAGAAAAAATATTTTAAAAAATAATATATGAAATATATATAAAATACGAAATATTCCATGCGCGTTGTTACTTTACACATATGTCACATATGAAGCTACACTTTGCGTCCAGTCCTGCAGGTACTGTGTAAAAACTGAAATAAATAAATAAATAAACTTGACTCATTTTACAACAGTTGCGAGACGAGTCTTTCCATCTTATACCAATCACGCTTGTTGGCCTGATTAGAATCGCAGGAGGGGTCTTACTGCGCGCAGTAAACCAGAGTACCCGGGGAAAAAAACCACCTGTCAGTTAGGTGTCCTCGATTCCGGACGTCTATATTAAAGTCGGATGCATAACCATTTATTTTTTTATTCATTTCTTTGTCCTCCATGACATTTAAACATTTTTGTTATTGCTGTTTTAGGGCTGTAGAATATCACCATCCAGAAATTTACTATCAGATAGTTAAAATTACCTTAATTCCGTATCATACCAAACATCGGCGCCAGACGGCGCTTTCTTTCCTAATTCCAATGACACGGAATTAAATCATTTTACACTAACTCAATAATTTTTTCTATTACAAGATTAATGAAAAACTAAGGAATTGAAATGAGATAACCTATAACGTTAATGTGAACTTAATCAGCCTTCAGTTCTCACTTCACAATAAACATCAATAGAACGACCTTGGTCCCTAAATGGGCTCTTTTATCAACAACACAGCAGTCGTGTTTTTTTACCCCTGGTTGATATCCTCAATTCCAAAACGAAAAGGAATGTATTATGAATCCTTACAACTTAAAATCAATGAGTTCTCTATGTTAACATCAATGTCGGTATGGCTTTGTCGTTCTCCAGTCAGAGACATACAGTGACGATGGACTTATATGTCACGATTCGTACAAATTATTTCACGGTTCAGAATATATACACACGTACTGGACATTCTTCTATCAAATCAGCATGAACATTTCTAAATATATCGAATAATTGGGCTTAGGGCGGTTTTTTTTCAATGACTTAATTCTGTCACCGAAATAAGTACAGACTTAATTCTGTCACCGAAATAAGGACATGTTTAATTCTTACACCAAAATAAGAACATGCTTTATTCTGACACCAAAATAAGGACATGCTCAATTCTGTCACCAAAGTGAGGATAGGCTTAATACTGTCCTAAAAAATGGCAGGCCTAAGCCCGTCCTCGAGATAAGAACATTATTGATTCCTTGCTTGAAATTCAAACCAGGAAGTAAGTATTTATTTCAAATATTCTCTTCAGAAATAATAAAATTATTTGTGAACCATCTTTATCAATCCAACGGAATGTGATTTGCAAAACTGATTATACGTTCAATAAGACAATATAGAAATATTGATTTTTCTGAATGGTTACCATGAAACTAAAATAATTATTTTGTCGCAAGTATCTATTTTTTTAGGTTTTCCAAAAATAATTGCTCTGTCCTATTCGTTTAATCAAAACTGTTTTTTTTTAATGTCCAAGCAACATTAAAGAAATTTATATTATTTTCTTAAAATCACACAAATATGACGGATGTGAAAATAACTAGTCATGATATTGAATGATCGATGTGTTATCAATAACTTATTACTGTCTAAAGTTCCCTGGAGAGTGATTTATTTGCTGCTGTTAACTAAACAAGGGCATTTTCGTTGTATTAATTCAAACCGAGTGAACGTTCGATTATCTCGAACGTAAAAAAATCAAAAACCTGGAATTTTCAATATTACTGCATGACTTTCCACACAGCACTTGTGTAGAATCAAACAAAAAAGCCTAAAGCTAATTATTAGTTGATTGTCATTGGAAAAAATCCATTTTTGTCCATTTCTATTTCGGTATGATAAGGTTGATGAGACATGACATCTTGTGTATAAAAGGTTTCATAGAAAACGTGCATACTGCAAAATCATTAATTTTTGTGGGAGTTTAATTTTCTTTGTTTTCGTAGATATGTTCTCAATCTGATCTCACAGAGTTACTTCTCTCTGACTGTGTCAATACACTCATGGCAGCCGATGAGAACTGAAGTGTGTTAATGTATCAATTCCATTTATGAGATGATTTAAGATGAAACTGAACAAAGTTTTTTAGCATCAGTTGATTTCTTGATTGCTTTTTATACACGAAATCAAAAGCTGAAAAAAACCGCACAAACAGAAGTGAAAACCACGAAAATCTCCTATATAATATGATATATTCATTATTGTTTTGTTTCGTCTTAGTTATAATTGATTGATATTTTTACATATTTGTTTATCTTTCTCTATTTTATTACGCACTTTGTCTCTAACTACAATATAATGTCTTTCATACCAGAGACTTAACAATACACTCTGCCCGCAAAACGCCGTGTGTGCCAATGTCTTCAGATATGATGAACCAGTAGGGCCCTATGTGGCGCGCAGCATCCTCCACTGTAATTGCAACAACTTTGATGAAAACGGAGGATGCCCATACCTAACGCCGAATGAAGACAACTCCCTATATCAATCACAAAGAAATCGGTAAGTAGAAGATGAAAACCATAAGGACACAACAAACAGAAATGCATGCTGAAAACGAATGATTTTCACAATTTCTTTCAGACTTGTTCGTTACAGGATAATGTGAGTTGGTTTTATTTTTCTAGGGAAGTGATCTGTGGGTCAGTAAGGACTATGTCGGAGTGTAGAGAAGGGCAGATAGCCAGGGAACGGAAATCCGACCGAAAAGGAAGAAATTATTTCGTTGTAAGTTTAGTTGTTGATATCGAAAGAAAGGAAATGTCACAATTTTACAACTCAACTCTTTGTCAAAGACTTGTGAAATTATACTTATCGCCGTCTTATTCTCTCTGTCCTTGCACGTGTTCTACCAGTAGGTCGCGATTTTTAAAGAAGGAAAATTATTTTATAACAAAATTTTCTGGAAAAAATCTAACTTATTCAACAACAGTTTCAGAGGATCAGTATACCAAATATCATTAGACGTTTATAGTGAACAAAGCCTTATACATTGTGAAGTAAATGAAAACATTGTACTCCGCCGTATAGCCATAAAGGAGAGACGTTCATTTTACACAAGCTCAACTTTCGGGTATAATTAAACGAAATACTTGAAAAATCTGAAGTGCAAAGAGCTTTTACGGTTTAAATATTATGTTTTTATAATTTGTAGGTGTATTGTCGCTGTCCAGAACATACCCGACCATATAATTTGGTAAACAGGTTGAAGGCAACTGTATCGTTGAGAATGTTCAAAACCCAATACCGATGTAACATTCTTTAATGTTTACATCAGCGAAGGTAAACAAAACATCTTGACATATCCTCCATACAGCAACTTTAGCATAGCTATAACCAAACCAGACAGAGGTGTATCGAAGGTAACATAGTGTGACGTCAGTATTGTATGTAGCCATAGAAACAGCGACTGTTCGACCTCAAAAAGGCTGGTCCACTTGGCTGATGACATCGCCAATAACGAATGTTTTTTAATCAAGATAACTTTGAACATGCTATTTCGTTTGGCTGCAAGTTTTTTTTTCCTTAAACCGAATTTTAATATTATAATGCACGCCAAACTTCATTAACAAATGTAATATGCTGTTGTTGCGACAAGAATGTCCAGAAACAAAAATATTAATGTCATACTGCCGAGGATTTGAATAAACCTTTTTTATAAACTAAAATACAGTTCCATTCCGATCATACGCCCAACAGACTGTGTTGCATTCCGTATATTTGGCTCCATTCTTTAAAGCATACTGAAGAGCAAACATACAGTCTTCTGTTCATACCCTGATGAAATAAGTGTGTTTTCTTGGTTTACCGACCTGTGAACCGTCTTGGTCTTTTTGAGACGGGTCGTCTTTAAGTAACAACCTCTTTCATCATCATGCGGGAGGCCCGTCCTGGTATAACTATCTAAGGTTTGTTGTTGCTTTACATCCTGTTAACAGCCAGGGTAATTTTAGGACGTACCAGGTTTGGGTGGTAGGGGAATTCGGAGTTCCCGGAAAACAACCACCGACCTGCCGAATGTCCCACGTAGGTTTGACCCCGCGATCAAGTGGCGGATAGCTAGTGATAAAGACGGCCAAATGGAAACCACTCGGCCACCATGGTCTCTTGCCTTGCCAAAGGACGCAACCATGCTATTTTAAAATCATAAAAGATGTATTAAAAATTAATTAAATCATTTCAAGGTAATTTTATTTATTTTTCATCTGATAATACATATGTTACATTTACGGTTTTAGTTATATATCGCTGTCGTGTAAAAGTTGTATTTACTCAAATTTAAGTACATTTCAGTAACAGAAATAAGTTACAAATTTTATACTACATTTAATGACCAAGGATTTTCATAAAACATTAGAAACACGACTTTATACTCGTCGTAAGAATAACGGCGAATTTATTTGAACAGACATTTCATCACCACGTATTTCTTTGCTTTGAAACATAAAAAATTATGGAAAATGTTATGATGGAATATTGCTAATTATCTTGTTATCAAATTTAAAAAAAATAATAATATTGGCTTTATTGCAATTAATCAGAATTGTTTTCTGAAGAGATAATTCACCTAACCATAAAATTACTTTTAATATCAAAATTTCGCATAGGCGCTGCCCAGGTTTAATGATCTGGGGGCTTACCCTAAACTTAGCAACAGCACGTGCTGTTATTGCCGATAAGGCAAATTCATATCACAAAAAAAGCTATATCGCCCGGATTTTCAATTAACCCGTTTCGTTCTTGTGTCTGGAATGAATACATCATTCCTATTTGATCTCGACTTCCGGAATTAATACATGGATTTCTTTGTTATCCATTCAACCACACAAAGGCGGAAAATGTCGCCCGTGAATTCAGATCAGCCACACTAAAGAACAGCCAAACATAACATTTGAGATTCTATGATTAATTTTCTGCTTATGGAAGCTATTTTTTTAATCTAGCGTACTTTGTTAGCAAGTCTTATTTAATTTGTTACTGGTATTTTTTTCCATTTTCTACCGTCTGAAGACTTTTTTTTAATCAAGAGTTACATTTTTCCAGGTAGCCATAATTTCAAAGAAGTATTGAATTCATACCTTGTTGATTAAATCTAAAACAGTTTATACATTACTTCATGTTCTTGTACAAACACAAGAATATGTCTATGATACAAACAGTAAAAAAGAAATCAAGATTCGAAATTTTCGATTAAACATATCCCAAAAAAATGTATCCTATTATGTACATACCTTAGGTTTACGAAATATTTCGTCCAATGGAAGAATCTGACACAAATATACAAGGAAACGCACATTGTATAGTAGTTTATAAAGCCTGTTCAATGACTTAAAATCCATTGAAGCATGACGTCGAGTTCCGTGTGAATTAAATTGATCTTAACACCCGTGAGGCGTGACCTTTTCACACCGTGAAGCGCGACCTTGACTACCGTGAAGCGTAACCTTGACTACCATGGTGTCGTGACATTGACTACCAAGTGTCGTGACCTTGAGTACCATTAAGTGTAAACATGACCATTGTCGTGAGGTTTGACCTTGACTTGGTTACTATGGAGCGTAACCTTGATTAAAATTCAGTGCACTTTGGTTGACATGCAGAGTGATGGCTTGTGATAAAAGTAAAACACAGGTATTACATGTAAATTCGATATAATGTCATATTATACAATAACACAATGTCAACATTAAAATCTTTGGGTAATGAATGAAATGGACTTCGTATTTAAAAATGACTTTACGTTGAATACTCCTTAAATGTAGTGAGTTCAGTTGACGGTTCAGTGGAATAGGGTGCCAACGTATCGATGGACATAATAACGGACCGAGGGACGTTATAACCTTGTCTCTTATATAAGAAGTGATATTGTATCGAGGTGTCACTGTTTACATACTGTAAACTTAATAAGTGTATATAAAAGATAGGCATTATATAAAAGAGCATGACTACATATTAGCGAGGAAGATAATAGACATTTCAGAGAGTTGACACTGACAGAATATCATGTATTTTATAGTACACAATAACGGCAGTCTATCGAGGTTTTATCGTGATATATCGTCACTTAACGATGAAGTTTTGTGAATATTTTTTGTTCTTTATTTACAGGTGTAGTGTATACGCAGTATTTATCCTATAAACAATGAACACGTGACCAGTGATGAGAGATGGATTGTTGGCATTTTTTCAGCTTAATAATTAGACAAGCTTCAAACTCGCGGTGTCTGTATTGCCTACAATGAACTGGAAGTGTTCGAATATGTAATTTATACCATCATAGTACCGTATCGTGTTTTTCTCTGTAAATATGATGTTGTTACAAATTAAAATGATCTGAATATTAGTTCCGGTTTTCATGTTAATTTTTCACGATACTCGTTAGGATGTTTTTATAGATGTTTTTAGTTCAACGGTAATTTTTTCGAAAAATCCTGTTTCATTTTAAAAGAGCAGTTTTGTACATGTTTCATGGTCATTTTATTAGCGTTGTACATAAAGCACAAAGAGTTACAACCGGAAGTAAAATGGTATGCCAAGACGTTGTACATTTCCTATGTGGGTTTTACAAATGGAAGATACATACGTCGATATTAACTGTAAACTATTTTTGTAACATATTTTTGTTACGGTAAATTACAATATAAAACATTTTTTTCAAAAAATAATACAAATACATTTGAAAACCCCTACAAATTATCCGTCATATATCGTACTTTTCGAAAGAAAAAAAAACGGAAGTCGCTTTATAATTACCATGACAGTGTGCTTCTCAGCATTATGCTGTCACCCTAACAAGTTGCGCTAGATACAGTATACTTATCTTTTTATACAGTGTTACCACAGCTATAAAGCAGTATATACAATATCATGCCATCAACACACTTTGGAGTAGTTTCTTGCAACCGGAAGTTGCTATGTACACATCAAAATCACTTAAAGCAGAGTACTACAACAAGAGGAAGTCACAAGTATGATGTCCCATGCAGGTTTCATCAATATCATCTATGATGTGTTTAAATGCTGTGCACTAAATAACTGGTTAACATCGACAACCACTTCTTCCCGGTTTTGCGGTTTCTAATACTTGATATAAGCGAGATTTTCACGTCTTTGCAACAGCCTGGGTCTATAAGGACGGGTGCTAAGAGGTACACCAATAGTGGGAAGTTGAACACAGAACGAAGGTGTAAGATAGGATGTGAACCTTTACAACAACCAGAGACATACACCACCGGACAATGTCTGGAAGACCAAAGTTTTCACAAATACACCAAAACGTCAGCAGTCGTCTGTTGGTGCAGTACTTTCACAGAAATAGACATTCTGTATTTTCAGCTATACTATTAGTGATTTTAAAATGAGAGAACCTTTCACATCTGAGCGCTGAACTTCAAAAGTCGTTTCCCCGTCATCGATGTCTATCTATTTATAAAATAAAGGTCATTGATTGGTTCTCTCCCACATTTATACTTATAATGATGACCTACGTGTGACAAAATTATTCAGCATAATTGTAATGACACAAACGAATTTTTAAAAAACCACACGCACACAAAATGAATTTTTTTTCTTTCGAATTAAGGTGTGATTTATTTGCCTTAAGTGACATAGACATATTTCCACTTGGATAAAGAAATGCGGATATAAAGTATAAAATAATACCGTTCATTCTTGAGCGCGTAGATCCATGATTATGCATTCACGATGATATGAACTACAGCTGCGTTCAAACATTGCACAATATGAGTGGAGATATGTTTGAATGAAACCTTTTTGTACCCGCTATAAAATGCAGTGCTTTTATTTAATGATGCATCTACAATTCATGCTTGTTGTAGTTTGTCTATATACGGGTTTACGCCTTCGCAACATCCTTTTGGTGATGGGTGAGGGGTTGGGAGAGGGATTGGGGAAGGTGCCAACACTGAATTTAATGCGCAAAAAAGAAAAAAGGCGAAAGGAAAACACAAACATGCCAAGTCTTGTAATGGACGAGACGGTTTAGGGTGTTTTCCCTGTCCATTTAAAAGGCACAGATGAAGGTAGCCTACAATTCCGAGCTACGATAACCTGCAATTAGATACAGCTGGCCTTAATCTTTGGTAAAAAAAAAAGACGCGAAACCCTGAAACGAAACCTGCAAGAAACACCACCTTTTTCACCCCTTATGGGGCCTCTTTATTGTCTTAGAGACCAGATAATTCAAACATGTTAAAATTAAATGACATTGATGGAGGTTACATCGATTTGGAACGCGCTGTAATTGTTCTGTCACGTCTACTAAGGCTTCGGGCCATAAATGGCGACTCTCCTTAATACGATATCACAACCCATTAAATCCTGTACCATCAACTCGCTGGAAACATTTAAATTTTCGGTAAAAAAAGACGCATTCAATTATTATGATACCTTGTAAGGTCGTTAAACTTAATCAATTTGCAAGGTACATTGGTAAAAAAATCTTTGAAAAAATGTTCCTTATTTTTCGGTAAATGGTTCTAGTGACTTTTTTCCCTCGCGTTTGGAGTATTTGTTGTCGTGTGATACAGAGATGAGTGTATTAGCGTGACTACTGCACCAAACATAAACAGATATGAGATTACAAAAAGATGTTCATCGATTTGTAATGAAGAACCAGGCAAAATTCAAATTTAAACCAAATCGATAGATAACTTTGTTTTTGTGTTATTGTTATGCTGCACGCGAAAAGATGGGGAAAAAAACACGCACAGATATCAGTATCATTAATATATTAGCTTCGAGAATGAACAAGATTAACAGAATTTATCAACACAACGGTAAAAGTGCGCCATACTGATAAAATTCATTCAGCAGGATTTAAGGAAGGGATAAAACCATGGTAGAAATAGCTGAACGTTAGTAGTACAGCCGATATCATACAAAGATTTATATAAATATTTATATAATGCTACAGTCCAATTCCCTTGTATAACGATTGAAGATATGCTATGTCTGTAGTTTTAATGTATACTAACGAGGGTAAGTTAAAAAAAGGACCCGTATTCATTTCAGAAGGGCTTTTATGAAGTATTACTTAAATATATCTTTAAAATTCTCCTATCTTCTGCCATACCATGAACTCATCACCATAAAATACATGTAAATGACATTAGACTTTTCCAGAAACGTAAAAATCAGGACATTTCTGTTTGTATAATAAATAAATTGAGGATGTTAAGGTGCAACAGACACAGTAGCTATGCAAATAAATAAGTTGGAGGGCATGGACGTTCCTAAAAGTATGTTTATGTATATTAAATTTAACATTTCTCATGCGAACTTCTAATCAAATACAGAAAGAAATTACAATCATAGATTTGAACGTAACTCGATCAGTGTCGCTCCTTTTCTCATGCTCACTGTAAATGGAATTGATTCGTTTTCATATCACAAAAATGGCCAAAACTTCTGCTCAATCCCTTAGTAACGTCACCAAAAACAAAACGAAAAAAAACACACACAAAACAAAACAAAATATTATTAATCATGTTTATTGACGTGAAGGATATATGACGTCACCAGTTCCAAACTAAGGTATCCATTGTCTTAACATATGATGTTATTAACACAAGCAAAACTATGACGTCATCGATACATGACAGTCGTTTTTACCGACATAACATGTGACATCATCAATTTACTACCATTCTATAAGGAAACAACACTACAAATCCGGACTAGTCTTGGAATGTGTTAAAACAGATATGAATCAATTTGTACTGGCAACAAAATTAATGATGTTTTTTTTCCAAGAATTCATGAAATCCATTCACAGTTATGCAGAAGAGCAAACATCTTGACCGCTAATCTATAATATTACTTTGTACTAAGAGATGAAAATTGATCTTCAGGAGGCATTTCCTAACATTTGAAAAGGCTCTGATATGAGAAATGTGATTTTCATGTTCGTTTTTTAAAAACATCAAATACAAAATTGATTTTGTTAGAGTAGAACCAGTTGTCTAATGGTATGGAGGTTATCTAATAATGGACCTTTATGCAGTGAAAGATAGAGCTTTGCTCAAGTTGATAAATTTTCATTGAGAGGAATTGACTGAAATCCATATCATTTTTTCTGGTTTTTTTTTTTTTTTTCTGTTTACATGGAGTGTGTAATCGATCCCTTCAAAGAAATACACAAATCGGGATATTAGCTTATCAGAATAATATAAACAGTGGGATTCCTAGGAGACAAAGATCCATGGACAAAAATACTGTTTGTCAATACAAACTCTACCGTCTATTAATTTCTATGTTGATTTTAGGCCCAGTAGAAAATCTATAGATATTTCATCAATTTAGGTGTTTATTACACATATATATGTAAATACATATCAATTCATGGATTTTGAAAAATATTTTATATATATATTAAAATAACACAACTCTGCTAAAATCAAATTTGTATGCAAATAAATGTAAATTTCCCCAAACATTTTGGATTGTGAAATAGGCTATCACAATCTTGGATTGTATACAGACAGGGGAATCATTTATAAGATTAAAATCTCCTATGATGAAGAAAATTTCCAGCTTTTGTTCAGGGACTAAAAGTGAGTGGGGGACTAGAAAATGACTGTAAGACTTAAACACCCACTCTGCCAAGTTTATTGTGAGGGGAGGTGGGTCAGTATTTACTTATGACGTGGGTGACCTTGGCATTGACCTTTGGACCCTAAAACAATTCATCTCCCATGTATACTCATCACTGACAGTTGTATTGGGTTTGATCGAAATCTGAGGAAAATGTGAATGAATTGAATTGGAATGACAAGGACAGGTTGGGACAGAAATGGGCAATCCTATATACCCCCTCTCCATTTTAAGGCGTGGACATAAAAATCAACCATGTCTCAATAAGGACTTTAGGTATATTGATATGTCTAATTTCTAAGTACTGATGTAGCAAACCTTTAATGTGCTGTACTTGTTTCTAATGTACCTGTCCCTTTGACTGGGTTGGGTCTATCATTGTTTCTCATGTCCCTGTGACTGGGTTGGGTCTATCATTGTTTCTCATGTCCCTGTGACTGGGTTGGGTCTACCATTGTTTCTCATGTCCCTGTGACTGGGTTGGGTCTACAATTGTTTCTCATGTCCCTGTGACTGGGTTGGGTCTACAATTGTTTCTCATGTCCCTGTGACTGGGTTGGGTCTACCATTGTTTCTCATGTCCCTGTGTACCTGGGCATCACACTGTTGACAAAATGTATTTCTGCTAGTGCAAAGGATGATTCCAGTTCTTAAGGTCAGAAGGCAAAATGGAAAAGTTTTTCATGGAAGTTTTGAAACTGACAATGGATAGTTCGATCTAGTGTATTATCAATGAATCTGTTTTTTTATTAGTTTTTAATCCATTCATAAAATAGCAAAAACTAAGACTCCCTTAAAAGTAACAAAATGACAGTACACATGTGTGAAGCGTGGTCATACCTTTATACAGCGAACAAAAGAACTAGAAAGGTAAATATATTGCAAAAGTATACATCACACATCTAATTAATAATGCCCGGCAAACAAATAATATTCTCATTCATGTGTTTTTTTTGTAAACAGGTTTTGTAAACTATCACTGTTTGTTATGATTTACTTTAAACTTTTAAAGTCATTTGTTAGCATCATTGCATTGTTCATAAACTGTACATATCTTTTTGCTTAAAAGAATTATAACTGAAATAAATCTCAGTTCAGAGAAATAGAGACATTTTAAGTGCCAAGTTCAGTTAAAAATGTAACATAAACAAGAGGTCTAATGGGCCTGTATTGTTCGCATCCTCTGCAGCTCATTACTAGGAGGAGAATTCATTCTGGTAGCTGTTTATCCCTCATTTATACCATCTTACAAAGCACACAGATGAAAAATTAAAAAATGGTCTTTTGGTTGTTGAAATGAAATGAGATTTTCACACATCTGACCTCCATGACCATGAACGGTGATCAAGTTACTTCATTTGATAGCCTTTCATTCTAACATGCTACAGGTCAAATGTCATAACCTTCATGCAGGTGACATAAAAAGCTAGATTTTCAAAAGCTGTCTCTTACCTCTGTACTTAACAACAGGATACTGAAATACAATACAGAATATGCTTTGATTTGTATGGCACTTAGCTACATAATTATGTCATGGTTTTAATGTCGTCATTTTAATCTATTGCTTATCAAACCTAACTGGTTATAATAATGAGGTCATTTCTAATCATAGTATCTGTACATTATGTGTAAAAGTCAGTACATTTCTAGGGTTATTTAGGTTACAAAGGTCATTGTGTCTAATTACTTAATTTTGCTATCTATAGTAGTTCATTTATGACAGATGTCATTTTTCTATGGATCCAGTTACAATATCAATGACATCTTTATTTGTAATTATTTGTATTGATTTTCCGAATAACTGGTCATTTCAGTCCTTAATCGACTGACACTATTTCTAATGGTCAAGTTTTAATAGCCAGTTTGTCAGTACCATTGTATAGGTGATATAAGAGGATTTATGACTTTATTTAATGTCCTAATCTACAGGAAATCCATTCATGATTAATTATACATCCATTTATAAGGTATATATATCCGAACATCTGTTCACCGTTTCATCTGCCAAAGCTCACTGCTAACTATTTCAAGATTCCCTTTCCTATTTTCTTTAAATTCACATTTCTTTATGTGTTTGTGTTGCCTTCGTCTTTTATTGATATACAATGTATTTTGGATATTTGGTGCCATTACAAAGTTTGTATCATTAAACATAATAAACACTTTTAAATGACAATGAAAATTTCAAAGACATTTGTATTGATTTTATTCAAATGACTTAAGGCTATATGTTACCTTACATTGACATAGCTAGTTAAGGAATTAATTTTAGTTTTTTCAAATGACTTAAGGCTATATGCTACCTTACATTGACATAGATAGATGAGGAATTAATATTAGTTTTTTCAAATGACTTAAGGCTATATGTTACCTTACATTGACATAACTAGTTAAGGAATTAATTTTAGTTTTTTCAAATGACTTAAGGCTATATGCTACCTTACATTGACATAACTAGTTAAGGAATTAACTTTGTTTTTTTCAAATGACTTAAGGCTATATGCTACCTTACATTGACAAAGATAGATGAGGAATTATTTTTATTTTTTCAAATGACTTAAGGCTTTATGTTACCCTACATTGACATTGTTAGTTAAGGAATTAGTTTTAGTTTAGTCTAATGGTGATGAATTGATGACCAACATGATGACTAATATTAAAACCATCATTAAGTGATGACATCACTGACATGCTTTAAAGGGAGATAAATCTAACCTGCACTAATGTGTAAGGCAGCATAATGCCTTAAATACAATGGTACATATGAATTTTTGCAAAAAATTCCCAACATTCTTATATACTACATATCATTCATAATTCACACAAGTAATATCAAATTTTCAAAATGGATTTTTGGTATAATCATGTTATATTCCAATCCTAATGAATTAAAATGGAAACAAAATAGCTTGGACATTAAGCTAGACTTAACAGGTATATCTATGTGGCACATCAATATGGCTTTCTCATTTCTAAAAATTGTCTGCATTTTTATAGTGCTATGTTTATCTCAACATGGTTGCAAAATTCTGAAACAATATTTTTTAAGTACAAATGTAGTGTTCTGTATTCTCTAATTGCTGTAAATTTGATAACTTGAAAAGAAATGTACCTTCAAAATCACTGCTGTCCACTAAACCTCTTGACCTGGAATTCATTATCATTATTTTAACAAAATTATCATAATCAAGAATAACATCTATGGGTATTTTTAAAGTACTTTTTTCAACTTTTCAATATTTTTGATTTTTGAAATATGTGGAAAGTAACAATGACTCATGACCTATTGATTATTAAAGATGACAGTAACTGTTGCAAGGAGACAAGATAAGGTCAAAGGCCACCATATAATGCACTCAACATGTTATCAAGGGAATTATAACACTAAATAATACATAGATGATTTAACCATCAAGTTATTCTAAAGCTGATTTATAATCATGATTTGTTCGGTAATTGATCATGATTTGTTTGGTAATTGATTATGATTTGTTCGGTAATTGATTATGATTTGTATGATTAGTTTGGTAATTGATCACAATTTGTTTGTAATTGATCACAATTTGTTTGGTAATTGATCACAATTTGTTTGGTAATTGATCACAATTTGTTTGTAATTGATCACAATTTGTTTGGTAATTGATCGTGATTTGTTTGGTAATTGATCGTGATTTGTTTGTAATTGATCACAATTTGTTTGGTAATTGATCATGATTTGTTTGGTAATTGATCGTGATTTGTTTGTAATTGATCACAATTTGTTTGGTAATTGATCGTGATTTGTTTTGTAATTGATCGTGATTTGTTTGGTAATTGGCAATGATTTGTTTGGTAATTTATCATGATTTGTTTGGTAATTTGCTTACTGCATTTATCACTGCATGGACAGTCGGCCCATTTTAAGGGTAAGTGTTCTTGTAGTGCATAGCTTCTTGAGAAGCATGCCCCTCCCCTCCCAAGCCCCTAAGTAAAGTTAACCAATCCACAAATCTTTTTTTCGATCAACAATTTCTACAATATTTTCATCATTTACTGGTAATTTTCAAGTACCAAGATGAAATACAGCAGTAATTATAACAAAGGAAAGGAGGTCAGACTGAAAGAAGAGAAACCATGACTGGTTACGATGGTAATTATATACATATCTGATCAGGGAAGTTATCCCTACATGTATGTGTAGGAATACAAGTTCACTCACCATGGCAAAAATAGCAAAAATTTACTCTTTTAAAACAAAACAACCCAAAGATATTTTCCTTGACTATCATTACTAAAGGTTTATTTTACATGCTTCAACTTTCTTTCTAGATAAAATATTCATATGAACATTTGAAGATGGTATCTGTTAAAACAGGTCCATTTTCCACTTCACAATAAATCAATGTGTAAAGTTGAGTGAAGGCAGCTAAAATTGATAAAAATCAATGATGGTGATTTTGAAATACATTACAAAACAAGTTCACAAGCTTACAGGTGGCAGTTAAAGTTGAATTAATTTTCTTCTTTATCATGATCAAAAATTTAATTTTTGCAACATACAGTATCCATAAAATATCTTAGATGTTATAAATACAACACAACTAGCATCAAGAGCAAGTTGCCTCCCTTTCTATGGGAGCTTCCTGTGGGCTACTCCCACTGTTCAAGCTTTCATACGACTTAGTATCACTATCAACTTGATTTACAACAAGGTCATTGGAATGTTTGAAAGCAGAGGTCTTAAACGACCTGAAGTTATCAGAGGAATCTGAGTCAGAAGAACTCTCTCTGGTTTGCACAGACGATTTTTGAACACCACTTTCAGGAAAACCTGAAATACTGTCTAAATTGGACTGTTTTGAATGTTCTGTATCACATTGGTCTTTGGAGTGCGTACTGGAGCATGGTGGAACATCTCTTTGGTGTTCAATGATTGTTTCCGATGCATTACTCACACAAGTGCTATCTCCTGTTTCTAGTGAATCTACTTCCTTTTTAATGTTCATTTTATCACATACATCCCCTGCAGAACAAGCAGGTTCGTCATCGAGCTGGTCTATATTTTCAGTATTATGTAAAGTTATGTCTCCACCCACTCCGACTCTCAAATTGGCACTGTCAACATGCAGCACATGTTTCCCCTTTTTTGGTCCCTGATTACTGAATGTCAAATCATCTTTACCAATAACACTGTATACATAGTTATCTCCCCCTAACTGACTAGTATTTGTTTTTCCCAATATTGCACTATTAACATCTTTTCGTTCGCATCCATCCTCGGTCACTTGATCACGTGATATAACATTATTTTCATCAATCATTTCAAAATGTCCAAAATCTTCATGAATCACATTCATGTCATTGAACATATCCAACTGTTCAGAAACAGGATTAGAAATCTTAAAGAAGTGGTCCTCTGATGGCCGGAATATGTCTTCTACGTCTTCGTTTGAATGTTTCTCGGTGTGTGTACCATTGTTACCTGAACCACCTCTCTGCGAACTGTTGTTACATTCACCAGGGGAGTGGTTGTTTTTGTTTTCTTTAGATGTCACATCCAGTGTGGTCATGTCAGTACTATCAGGTAGACTAAATCTCCCTCCAGAAGCTAGAGAGCTCTGTGTATCTGTGCGATCAAAATCATACACACTACGGTCTTTCCCTTCACTTCCTGTACCGATTTTGCGAATTCCAGGTGTATACCTACAAATCAAAAAGTGGTGAAATATTTAGAAATTTGTTAAAATTTGAACAGTGGATGGTTTTCTGAAAAGGTACATCATCTATTCCATAGATATAATCTGATATGTTTTCTCAGATTCACAAAGGGAGATACAATGACTGTTTACCTAGAAAATGTCCCCACTCCCCCATACATAACGTGACCTGTAACCTTGATCTCATTAATATGTAAATGTGTAGAACTTGATGCTATGATATTTTTCTATTGAAAGTATTACCATTCGAGGTTAGAATGACTTAACATTGATTCTGGATCGGACGAGACAGACCTGGGTAACCATATATACCCTCTCATAAAATGGTAGGGACAGAAGAACACAGTAGATATGATCAACATGTACAAACACCAGTAAACAGGAAAAAATTTGTAGCGATCCATGAAAGTATTCAGTTGAGAAAACCCTATACAAATATGTCCAGAAAAAGTATCACCATGGATTAAGATAGAGAAGGATAGGTAACTGTCCTTGAACTTTGATATAAAGAGTATATACAGTAAAATGATATTTCTCCAAATAGCCAAGGTGACAATACATGTATTTTCTAAGGAGGGAAATCTTCAAATTTCAGAGACAGAAAAAGGAACTAATAATGGACTGTAAAAACATTTATTTTCGTGGGAGTTTAATTTTAGTAGATTTCGTAGGTAACAATTATAAACATAAATTTTCGTAGTCATCGATTTTGTAACAATTATAAACATAAATTTTCGTAGTCATCGATTTCCTGAATACCATTAATCCATGGAATAAAGTGTACACTAATATTGTTTTTCTGGACATTCGCTTTATTTGATCTCTATCAAAATATGTGTTGTAGACATCTGAGTACATGAAATAATATTAAAGGATGTGTTTGAAGTTCCAGTTTTGTATTGTAACATGGCTTCTATAGAATATCGATGGTGTATAGAAAAGTTTCAAATAAACCAGTCATTCCTGGTATATACTCACAGCCTGACACCTAACCGCAGTTCAAGGAGGGATTTCATGTTACTCAAAGTTTGTCGTAGGTCTGTAGTTCCAAGGCCACAGTAATATCGTAGCTGCAAATTACAACGGAAAAAGTCTGTGAAAGCACCAATCAAACATTAAACTCCAACTGATACCATCTATCGTCCAATAGGCCCAGGGAGCCTGTCTCTGATCAAATTCAAGGAGCGGGCTTATTTGAGGACAGGATCATAGCATTAAGGACATTCTTCTAGCATTTCTAAAAATACAGTATGTTGAGTGGACTTATTGCCAAACAAGGAATTAATGCATTAGTATATTAATAAATTAAGAAATCACATCTCACTACCTATTTGTTTGATAAATTGGTATCAAAGGTTTTATAAAGAGTCCTGATTACCCTGAGGAAGGAAGTAAAGGCTTATTACAAAAACAAACAAAATATAAAAAAAAAATAACAGGAAAACAAGAGTACCGCAAAGCGGAACAAAATATGCCCATGAATATTCAGAACAAAGAAGATAATTCAAGAATTACAGTCCTCCACCCGGTGTACTTTGATGGAAGTCAAAGGTTAGGTCACAGCGACCTACTTTTGGTACACGACACACCATCTCACCATGGTGCACCCACGTTTCAGTATCAAATGGTGTAGGACAAGGCTTTTCTTTGATAGAGGTCAAAGTCAATGTCACAGTGACCTACGTTTTGCATGGGACACGCTGTCTCACCATGATGCATTCACATGCAAAGTTAAGTTCCAGTATGAAATTAACATTGGTTAGAGGAAATATTCTTACAAGATTTTTATATTTCATTTCATGGTGATTAAGCATACAAACTTTCATAAAGATTGGCTGAAAAATGTAGGAGATCTCCGGACAAGATTTCTATAGTGAAATAAACAAAGGGGCATAACTCTTATTCAAATTGTCTAATCAAAACCCCGTTCAGGAAAACACAACTTCATATCATGATGATTAAGCCTACCAAGTTTCATAAAGATCGGCTGAAAAATGTAGGAGGAGATCTCCGGACAAATAAAAGTTTACGACGGATGCCAGACGGACGAACAGACAGCGCCATACCATAATACGTCCGTCTTTCGACGGGCGTATAAAAATATGACATAAATTGCATCACATACATAGACCATAAAACAAACACAAAGTTATTAATAGTATTCACATTATGGGCAAATACAAAGACAGAAACAAAGTAGATAGAAATAACAGGTGAACAATAATATACCGGATTATAACATAGGTTATGATGTGTCTTACTCAGTATGATAAATAGAATTTAGTGAGTAATATCAATACTATTTTTGACTTTGTATTCGTTAATATAAATTTATATACGTAAAGTTCCCTGCTCCTAACCTGACAGAAATGGAGTTTAATATATAGTTTAGTCTGAGAAACTCAGAGCAAAACCAAAGCTAATGATGTACTTGCATTGTACAATAATTAAGCTGGCTATGTAATCCTTAAGATGTATTTAGATCTTAAGGATGAAGACAGGAAAAACAAACAAATAATATATCCCTACTATGTAGTGGCAGACATGAAAATCAGAGCTGTCTATTCAGATTAGATCACCATATAAATATACAAAACACTTTCACTCTTACACAACTTCCCTCTAATGATGTGTCCAACATCCCAAACACTGCCTATCAACTCACAGGTCGTGTCCAACATCCCAAACACTGCCTATCACCTCACAGGTCGTGTCCAACATCCCAAACACTGCCTATCAATTCACAGGTCGTGTCCAACATCCCAAACACTGCCTATCACCTCACAGGTCGTGTCCAACATCCCAAACACTGCCTTTCACCTCACAGGTCGTGTCCAACATCCCAAACACTGCCTATCAACTCACAGGTCGTGTCCAACACCCCAAACACTGCCTATCAACTCACAGGTCGTGTCCAACATCCCAAACACTGCCTATCAACCCACAGGTCAAAAAACAACAATCTTTCAAACATTAAATCTAAAATATTTAAAAATGAATATCATACCTGACTGATGTTTTTATTCAAAAGGAAAACTCCATAATTAAACTGGAATTTTTCCTTTCCTTTTGCAAATAAAGGGAATCTGAAAGTATAAAAAGCATTGTGACAATACATTTTTTGCAAGTATGAATTTTATATATCTTATATAGTTCATCATTGTTCAGTTTTCGTTTTATACAAAAAAAGAAATCCATTCAAAATTCTTTGTACAGGGTTTTTTTTTCTAATTTCAGTACTCCCATTTGATATTTCCCTACCTAAAAATTGGTACAATTTACAAAATTATTTTTTTATCATTATTCAAACCTACATCAGAAGTCCTAAATTGGAGCATACCATTGTCTATAAGTGCTGTAGACCTAATACCATATGACGCTTCCACCTATTTGCAAACGTAATACACAGATATGTGGAACTCTTTTGGATAGGAGATTAATGTCACAATAAGGAAATATATAGCCTTAAATACATACTGCCGATCCTTGTCTAATAACTTGGTGTGAATATGGTCTTGGATGACTGATCTTGAACCATTATGGGTCATCGGATACCTCAGTGGAATGTCAAGAATGTCTGACATCATCATGACCATGTGACATACGTAACCAAGGGAAACAGACACCATCATGTCTTCCTGACCTGTAGACAGAGCAAGAAATGAAAATCGTATTCTCAAGCAATTGTTATTAAACCAGAAAAAAAAATTAAAATCAATTTCAGAATGATATTTCATCATAGCTCATCCTTTAATAGTGCCAGGATATGCTTTTAAAATCCCGAGAGTTACGGGCTAACTGGGTCAATATGACAATAGCAATTTCTATATGTTGTTAATGAATATTAACTTGAATATGTGTTGTAGTAATTAAAAAGGGTACAGATCTACTTAAAATAACATTTGAATATATTTATTGAAGAAAATATTTTGGAAAATTCAAAATGTTACAAAAGTCAAAGAGTCAATATTTCAAGCTTGAGCATACTATCACATAGTGTTTAAAAATCCCTCGGACAATCTAACAGTTTATCCGAATATCACACGAATATCACACGGAAACTTACTTAGAAACTCTTCAGAATTCGGTAACTTAATATCACACAGAAACTTACTTAGAAACTCTTCAGAATTCGGTAACTTGACACCACAAATGAACATGTCTGATTTTTGGTCTGATTTCTTACTCTGAAATGGAACAATAAATTGCATTCAAAGGGAAGTAACCCTAGAAACCAAAGTCAGGTCGGAATTCATTACTGGCTGAGAGAAGAATGACAAACACAGGTTCGAACCATTGTTGTTGAAGGAAAGAACAATTTGATAATAACCTCTCCAATAACATCAAAAATAAATGTGGTACATTGTCACCTTGCAGTAATATTAGCTCTTGAAATCCATCTACATTCAAAATGTACACAACAAATAAGCATATCAGTTTTCATAAAAATCTACAGACTTCTTGAGAAATAGCAATAACAAGAATTCTAAATATGCCGACAAAAGATCACAGACAAAATGTGATTTGAATAACCTGCCATCTGGATGATATCATAAAAGTTGTAAACAATATCTGAGACCCAGACAACTCACCTCCGTAATTGAGTAGACATTTGTGGCCAGCTCGCCAGTCAGCTGTTTTCTTCTGATCCACAGCTGTGCATTCTCCTTAATCAAACTCTCCCTAACATAACACAGAATTCATTTTCCTAAAAACTTTCATTAACATTTTATTATGCTTGGACTAGTTGATCAAAATTATTCCTTTTCAAGTCCTGTATTATTATGTGCAGGTCCTTCTAGATTTATGTCTAAGATGCTGGGAAAAAAGACAGACAGGTCTGTCTGCACAAAAGAACAAGGCCAGGTTTAAGCCATTAAAATTTGATCATGAGAGTTGTTTTAATTTGATATATGACACAGACTTAACTTGTTAGACTAATCACACACTCAAAAAGAGTGCCGTGGACACAATATGCTGCCACAAAATATAAAGATCAAAATTGGTCCTTTTAATTGTCGCTTTTAACATGTCTGTATCATAAATCTTACAAAAATCAATGCACCGTAAAATCGCCCCTTCATGCACATCGAACAATTGTATTAGTGACATTGAGCAAGTTTTATGAAAATCTGATAATTAGTTTAGGAGGAGATGCATTCACAAAGCTCCACTAAGAGCAAGCTACAGATACAAAGTTAAAAAATGGCATAAATCTTACAAAAGTCAACGAACCGAAAAATCACCCATTCATGCACATCTGCCCATTGCAGTAGTGACATTGAGCAATCATGAAAATCTGATGATTAGTTTAGGAGGAGTTGCGTTCACAGGAAATGGACGTACGGATGGATGGACAGACAGAGAAGATAATGCCAATATACGACCACCTCTGGCAGTGTATAAAAATGACTACCAACTCTCTAAACTATCCCATAATTTTTAAACATAAGTGCTGATCCTTTTAATAGGATGTGTGATAATCTGAATATTTTGTAAAGTGGCTTACAGATTTAAACAAAGCAATCATGCTTAACTCTTGTATTTGCAATCATTTTTTCTGTATTTAAATCCAGACAGTGAAAAGTACATATTTATATATAAGTAAATTATAACACAACTACGTTTATATACCAAGGTCAAAGGCACATTCTCTCTTATATAATTATCGTACCTGGTTTGACAATTGTGTTTTTTCCTGTCAGATAGATGAGCTCGTTCTTTCTCCAATAAGGCAAATTTTTCATCCAACTGCTTTCCTACAGAAGCAGAATAGATAGACTACAAAACTGTGTTATCAACAAATATTTACAATCTATCTGTGTTGTACTTCATCTTTAAAAAGTAGATTTTACAGTATCCTATGCCTCAACCAGTGGCAACAGTGGCATTTTCACTATTCCGTTGTACATTTAACGTGAATGCAATAATTTCATCAGTGAAATAACCATCTAGACACTTGTGTATTAGATGTTCTCTTACATTCAGATCATGAAATTTTCATTTGTTAAAATATAATTTGACCATTTTCACAGGTGAAAATGACCAGCTAAAAGGTAACTGTTTTTTACATTAGGAGCATCTAGTATCTGTTGTCTGTGTTTGATTATTCTAATGGTATCCTGATTTCAATACATTAAATTGGACACCAACAGTAGAAACTTTACGTACTAGATGTCTGGTATCTGTGTTTAGCTTTCTCACATTCTTCCTGGTCAGACTGTAGACATGTCGTCTGCCAGGTCAGCTCACTGCGGAGTTGTCTCACCTTGAGTAATGTAGCTTCTCGCTCACATAGCTATTTAACAGACACAAAGTACTCGTAAGATGACAGACTTAGCTGGGTATGTTAGGATTTATCATCTAGAGAATACTTTTGTTCACATACACACCTGAACATTGGATGTTTCCAAAAGTACAAAATTCTAGCAGAATAACTTCAATTCCCTTCCTTTCATCAGAGAGTAAGCAAGAAAATTTGTATTAGAATCTCTTACGATATTTCAGGCTGATTGACTTGGTGTAACTTGACAAAAAAGTATATGTTTTTTACCTTCTGAGACTTTTCCTGTGAGGAGAGTAGCTTATCTTCTATGGAGCTGTGGACGCGACTGACCGATACCTGTGTCTGTTTTATAGCACGTAGTACTGTATAGATTCTGTAAAAAACAGGAGCAAAAAATTTACCAAACATTTGTCAGAAAATAGAAACAAACAAACGACTTTATGAAAACAAACAATTTATTAACATGTACCCATCTTTAAGTACATGTATATATACCACATTTTTGTGTATAATTAAGTTTTTCTTTAAATGTCACTAAGCTAAAATGTAAATGAAGAATAATTCAGATTTTGTATCAATGAAATGTAAGGGAATATTACAGAGGGATGTGTCCAAATCATTTGTACATAGCCATCACAGTTATTTCAAGTACAGTTACAGGGTATATAGAGATTACTTGGCACTGTACAACACTGTCAAGGACCTTATACCACAATATGTATGATATATACCTCGATAAATATATTTCTATACTATCTGAAAGTTACAGTAAGACAATTGAACATGGAAACTGGAAATATACATTTAGAAATTTGTTTGTACTAATATGGTAATTTTGATTTATAACCAATACTACTTTTACTGATTCTTTAGAAAAAATCAAATATAAAATGTGAAAATTGATGTATAGCATATATCAGATTAAATATATAAATTATCAGTGATTTTTGTTAGAAATGGTCGAAAAAGACAAATTAAAAAACAAATGATAAAAATACTGATAAATAAGTAATACCACATAGTAATGGAGTGATTGTTAAATATATCTTTCCTTATGTGCAAAAACATTTTATTCCTTATATAGAAATTAATTATAATATCAACCATATCCTCTTCACAGAAAACATGACAAGTGTTCACACCTCTCCAGGGATGCCGATGTATAGGATTTCTTGGCTGTTCCAGCCTCAACTGGCAGATTGATCAGTGGTTTGACCTACAAAACAAAACATTTTTATGGATTTGTCACGCAATACAATAGCATTACAAAGGTAAATGATCAAATTTAAGCCAAAACATATACATGTATATCTCAAAGACAAGTGAAAGTGAAGGTGAAAGTTCTCTCAAAACCTTTTTGTTCGAGAGCTTTTAAATATCTGAATATGAAATTTTACAAGTAAAGGGAGTTTAAATGAAATCCAGATAAACATAGACTATCCAAAATATCTGTGTTTCTGAAGTAGTAATTAGTTAATTTAATTCAAAAAGAAAAAACCTACCTTTTCTTTATTGATGTCAGGTGCAACAAAGAACTTGTCAAACATTCCAAAAATCATGGTGTTGGGTGAGTATTTCACCATGTCTTGCTGGAGCTGTAAGTGTATAAATACTTGTGATTAATTCCTGCCTACATATATATGTATTTTGTTTGTACTAGATATAAATAAAAAATATCTCCCTTAATTTCTATTCATCATTGTGACACAGGAAAACTCTAAAGTTAAAGAATAGAAAAAAGCATCTATAATATGCTGGTAAAGATGTTTAAATCCATTTTTATTCACAATAATAGACAATAAAACTAGACCACAAGAAAACAAAATAAATATGCATTGTTTTTTCTGTTCACAACATTATTTTTTAAGAAATTCACCAAATCACCAAAACTTGAAATCTTGCAAATGTTTTATTTCATGTATACAGGTGATGTATGTTGAACACAATAATTACAATGTATTAAATAAGTTTGAAGACAGCCATCAAAATAAGTACATTTTGTACAGCGATAGAAAAAATATTACGGATATGGTAACAGAACATGTGGTTAAACTCTGACCTTGTCAGCGAAGAAATCCAGGCCTGTCAAATGGACAGTCCAGTCCAGAAGGAGACGGCAGTCATCATCCACAGCCAACCATACTCGCACAACCAAGGCTGGACAGTGGTCAAGGTATCATTCAATATTCAGTGATAATATCAACATTCACAAAAAGAAGACTTAAGATGGTTTGATATTACTCAAATTTCAATAAAATAATGCTTTTTTGCAGAAATTTTAAAAAAAATTAAGTGTTAAAATTAATTTATTTGTATACTTGGTACTATTGCACATTTGCCCTACATTAAAATCAAATGTTAAACAATGAAATCTCCCCAGGCCCAGATTGATGACAGAAGGATACACTGAGATTTTATATTGATTTCCCCTTCATACCGACTGATATCAAAACTTTGCCAAGATGGATTCTACAAAAGAAATCAAAATAACAGTAACATTCATCGACTACTCATAAGGATTTAGTTTTGTTTTACACAAAAATTATCAAAATTGAACATAATTGTTCCTTGCATCTTTTATAGTCAACAATTCAATAACTAAATGAAAATTTTCAAAACCGAATTAATACATACATATATATAAAATGTATTTCATAAGGTATTTCATTTTTGTAAACTTTCCACATGTAACCTTTCGACTAAACTCAAGGAAAGACAATTTAAACTAATCAAAGATAAAATTGAAATTGGAAAATATGTTATTAAGATCTTAAACTGTCAACAGATTAAAATCAAAACTGAAATCTTAAACTGACAACTGATTTTTTATCTATAAATTAAAGATGATGTATGGTTAACTTACAAGTGATCCTGTTATCTTCTCACTTGTGTAGAATGCTGAAAAGATATTGTCAGAGTTTATATTATTGCTTTAAACTAAAGAACCAACCATTCACTAATTAAATTTACTATAATTCACTAGAAAATGTCTACCACACATGAATGTCCTTGCAGTCACTGCTACACAATCCAAAATCTGATCAGAAAAAATTTGATGTTATGATATTATGGAGTAGATATGAACCAAATGTTTTGAAAAGCTTTCAAGATTATGGTTGAATCAAGAACAGAATGGGATGACACAGGCATGAGATATTGGAAACACCCAATATAAATCAATAAGATCAATACAAATATGATTTTATAGCGGTAACAGAAAGCAAAATTTCTAACAGAAGCACTACAATTTTAATTTGATTGATAAATCATTATACATAAGTGATGATATTTATTAAGCGTTGTAATGTAACCCCAAAAGTAAGTGGCAAAATTTTCTATTTGCAAGACGGATATTTCAGAAATAATTTACCAATAAACACTAAAGGTGTATTACAAGCCTCGGGAAGAAATCTACCATACAAGTTGGTTGATAGTATTTATACCCCTGAAACTAATTTTGATAACTTGTCTGCTCTACAAATAATACCTTTGGCTGCTGTGTCACGGTGAAGTGTGAAATAGGACTGCAATTTATGGACATCTTTCCCATTGTAACTAGGACACACCAGGTTCCTAATGGCAAGACTTCGGAGATGTCTAAGTCGTCGCTACATAAGGAAATTAAAAGCTGTTAACATATAAAAACTGTAAACTGTTTGATACATAAAAACATGATAATTTCATTTAAGTGACCTTATGTATCATGTACATTTAAATAGATTGGAAATTAAAATTAGGGATTATTAATTTATACAGTGACAATGTCTTGGACTTCTCAAAATATTGAATTAGATTTTGTACAATTTGTCGCATTTTGTAAATAAATGTCACAAACAAGAGTAACGCAAGAACATCACCCTTCATAGTTTTTGACATCGATGAAATTTTCATCATTTATTCCAGAGCTTTGAAGGATTTCTTTGCAATATTAGTGTTTAATTTATCACAACATGAAAAGTCAGAATCATTTTACATGGGGAATTCTTGGTAATAGCTTTTGACCACCACACTGAACATCATGTTATAGGCCTACTGCTTCTTATTCAAAGTCATTGATATCAAGTCAGGAATTGGAACAGAAAGAATAAAGTGGTTTCTTCGCCAATGCCAAAATAGAGCTTATATTTTCAGACACTATGTATTTTCTATCTATTGTTTTGTGTATCATTTATTGCCCTCATAGACAGGTAACTACTTCTCTGGTTTTATTTCTTACCTTTTTTACAATGCTTAAATCACAGGTATTTAATACGCTCATATATTAATCCCTTTTTGGATTTCTCCTTTGAACTAATTCATATCGGACGTTTGACATTGTCTATCGTCGGAATTCCGACGAAGGACATTGTCAAACGTCCCTATAAACGAGACCCAAGGAGAAATCCCAAAAGGGATTATCTCATATATATATGCTATAGAATGAGTGTATTCACAAACTAGTCCACAGAAAGACCAAAAGGTCATAATAGTGGACGTAAAACATGTTAAATAAATGAAAAAAGAGTGTTCACAGTGTACTGGCTATTATCTACGCTGAAAAGAACAGTCGACATTTTTTCTTTTCTTGTCGACAACATCACTTTCCTATAGATTCATGCATATTTCATTCGATATTGATCGGTCTGCACTTGCTTCTATAAAAAAATCTTAAATGAATATATATGTAAACAGTTAAAACATATGCATTGAATCGATTTGAATTCATTATGACAACGCCAATAATGGAATAACAGTATTGACATGTATTAATGAGCGATATAAAACTCAAATAGATGACAATCATGCCGACAAATTTAATAATAAACATCATGAAGACAGATGTACTGTGCAACATCGAATACAGACAACGAAACCATGTCTCACCTGATATGTCTGCAGTTCAAATAAGCATCGGGCTTTCTTGGTGCTTATCTGCGACATGGCTTAATTCAAGAGCGGCACATCATGACTGCATGTTTACAAAATGTAAATACATGATCAACATCTATGAAATCGATTTTATGAGCTCCAAAGCCCAACAGGAAGTACTACCCCCTAAACAGTCGCCATTTTCAAGATCTCGCAACATGTCACATGGTTTATTGATTATGTATTGGTATTATTCTTATCAAACACAATAAGAGATATCTCTCCAGTGCATCGATACCATAATGATTGTGTCAAATTGCTTTTATGCTTGATATGGAAAACAACACTTTAAATTAAGCGAAACTCAAATGTGAAAAATATACCTGCGAGATTTGGTCGTGATTTCACGAGACAAAATCATGTGACTCCAATGGCTGCTGACAGGTAGGATGCTGAGGTTGACAGCAGATGTTGTTTTTCTTGTAGTGAGAAAGTTATAACGTCTTGAATAGACTGTAGGCGTTCAAACTATTAACGTACGAGTGTTGTTTAGCAGATAGATTATTACTGCTGCTTAACTGAATAATTTGTAATTGTGTAAAGGACATTGGCAGGTATCCCTATATGTGAGTTAAAGGGTCCGAGAAACTGACCAGACTTGACATGTTTTCGTCCTTTGATAAGACACTTTAGTCTTGTTGCCCTTGATGTCATGTGACAGGGCTCCCTTATGTTGTTCAGCGAGTTGGTCACCAGCTAATACAAGGAAATACGTATCAGTGACTTTGACAATAAGAAAATTGATCACTTGGGAAGGACTTTTTAATCAGTGAACTGTAGGCCTATATGTAGGGAATTTGGCCATATTATCATATGAAGTATGAATGGGTCCTACAGAGCTACCAGAAAAAGTCGTAATCATGTATACAAGCTGATGCTTATGCTGTTTTTATTGGATTAACAAAAATGTTAAAAACACCAATATGATCCAAATTGTTTAAAGTGAAACCCACCATTTTAACCTGTGAATGTAAAGTTTAATATTTACAATATTATTCTAAACACAGATTTTGTGAACATTAAGTTAGTTCTACTTGTCATATCTTAGAAATGCTCTGGAATTTACAGCAGAATAGTGTTATTTATCAGACAAGAAACTGATGCCTCGAAATAAGCTGTCTCATAAATGTTGATATCAGTAAATGTATTGCCATTTAATAAGCCAATTTCTTTAAGTAAAAAGTAATGTATCAGTCCTCTTTGCTAGTTGCCAAATGAACATATATGACTGTTACATAAGCTGAACACTAGTCCTTGGTGTCAGACTTATCAAGTAATTTAGTTGTATAAATGCCATTATTCGACTGTCAAGTATATGTAACTCTTCTACTTCATATAATATGTGTATTAATATGAAATGTTTCAATTATTTTGTAGATTGGAGTGATAGAATAACACCATAATGACAAACGTTTTAGGTGTAGACAAGATCCAGGATTCCCTTGGCTATCTTGTTCTTACTGATGATGGTGCGGTACTTAGTGTAAGTTTATCCAGGTTTTAATTTGTTGTCACAAGTTTATGTCATTTTCTAGCTCTACTACATAAGACTGATAATAAATAAACAATCTCCCCAAATCAAAGACTATTTCCATTATTCTCTAACAATTATAGATCATCTGTAAATTTTTACAAAATTCTTCTTGATCTCTGACATTAACCAAACACTCTCAGAATCAGGTAAAATTTGGAAATGTATGGACAGTTGTATTTGGCAGATGAAAAATTAATTAAATCTTCAAAATTTTCATTTAGAAAAAAAAAATGTCTTAAATTTCCATGTATATGAAAACTATTAAATGAATTCTCCAATTTTTGGGAGAGAATGTTTTTTTCCCCAAAATGATAAGTAAATACCCTGATAGCTGGTCTACACTCTTCAGTTTTAATGATAAAGATGTTGCAAATGTTATTATCTTATACAGAAGTACATTCTTAATATACATGGATTATTTTTTTTCCAGTCAGGAGGAGAACTGCAGAATGCAGAGTCCATTGCAGAGAAAATGACAAAGCTTGTGTACACTGCATCCAAGATACAAGTGACATCAGATAAACGAGAAGTCTTCAAAAGGATTTCAGGTATGTTCTGAAATTAGGAACCTGTTCACTTATACATACCAATCAATTTGTCTACATTCTACAGTTGAAATTAAATGCTGAAATCATGATGAACTTGCACAATCATGTTTTATAAACAAATCCATCTGATTATTAAAAATATATGAAATTTTCACTTAGATAGTTCATATATTATTGTTTCAGCTGGTACCAATAAATTCTAATTTATATGATAATAGATAGTTGATATGTGTCAAATTATCACTTTGGATAATGAAATTTTCATGTTAGGGTTCACAATGTTCTAATTCATAAGTTTGACAGTTTTGCTGTAAGAGTTACTTCTCTTAGATTGATGTTTTCATATTTCAGTGATCTGGGATAGTTTTATGTATGTGGTGACAGTAGCTAATCATCGAATCTACGTGTGTAAGCGACCGTACATGCCACAGGAACCTGTAGTCACATAGTGTCAAAAAAAAAACCCAGGAACTTTTTAAGTCCCAAAGTGACAATGGAACCCAAAATTACAACATTGCCATATTATAGGAGCTGGCAGTAACAATGATGACAAAGGAAGCAGTCACAGTGATGGCATAGGAAATAGTCAGTGTGATGACACAGGGAGTAGTCACAGTGATGACACAGGAAATAGTCACTGTGGTGACATAGAAAATAGTCACAGACATGACACAGGGATTAGTCACTGTGATGACACAGGGAGTAGTCACTGTGATGACACAGGGAGTAGTCACAGTGATGACACAGGGAGTAGTCACAGTGTCAACCTATCTCAAGTTCTGACAAACAAGATTTACAGGCATTTCCTTCAGAGAGATATCAACTGAAACATTTTGTTCTGATTCTGACATCATACTTCAAATATTTTTTAAACTGCACTTGTGAGCCAAATTTTTAAAATTCTATCTGTGACATTGGTAACTTGTTTACATGAAACACTGCTGTTTTGACTCTTAGGCAGTATCAGTGAAACCTAATCTGTTGGCTGTACAGGCAATATTCATAAAACAAATATCTGTTTCAAGTAAATAAAAAATAGACATTTCTGTGACTGCTTGTGTGGATGTGAAATTGAAATTAGACACCAGCATGTGCATTTAGACAGGATGGCAGGATGTAAATTAACGAGACAATTTTTTGTTGTAAGAAAGATGGTATGTGTGAATCATATGAAAGAATGTTGATACATACAGATAGGAATATTTAAAATGTGCTGAAATGTTTCCATATTAAAATGTGATTTATTGGTTATTTTTGTTTAGTCTTATTTTCCTTGAATAAAGTTGTTATGACTTGTGTGATGATGTATCATCAATAATGTTCTTTGTATCATAAATACTGGTATTAGTCATTAAAGATAAGATAGGATATGTGAATTATCACCCGTAACATGAGTCAGTACTGTTAAATAACAGGGACATGAGAATCGATGACTAAGAATTGGTTTGAATTTGTTTGTAATTAAACCAACTACATTGACATGGGAGATGATAACAATGTAAATGTTTCGATTCAACCAAGGTACAGAGTGTATGTTCAAATGTTTGGCTATGGTAGGACTTAAGGACATATTGGTTTTATTTGTGACAATCCTCAAATGACTGAGACCTGACAGCATGTGTCATGTTATGTGTTTTTGTTAATGATTTGGACCTGTCCAGGTTATAGGGACTACAATATGTACTATTGTATGTGGATAGAATGAAAAGGCAGTGTAATTTAGATAGCAAGATAATAAAAAAGGAGATATCTTGATCAGACTGCTGCGAGGTTTTTTACCAGTGGATACCTCACTTTACCAAATCTTACCTATATTTTTATAGGTGTTTATCTATCTATGTTTATCAATAAACTGACACATCACTGCCAGTTTGTAACCTCAGGTGAAGATTAGAAGCATGTAGTCTGAGGCTCCCTAATCGTAAAGGTTTGTAGTTTTCAGGAAGCAAAGAAATGATTGGTCTGTTAATTGGGCAAGGCTCTTTTCTCTAATTGCTCTGAATGTCATGGGCCTTCAGTATCTTGTTCAGTGAGGTAGCCTCCAACTACTACAAGGAGACCCTGCCTCAGAATTACCCTGGTTGTTCATGGGGCGATAAGCCCAACAAATGAACTGGGACTTCATCAACAATATATTGACACAAATGTACTTTAATTCATATTTAATTTGAACCTGACAAACAGCCAATATCTGCTTTAAAAAGTTTGACCATAACAGACATCACTTAGGCTTAATTCATCAGTATGATGTACTTTACAGAAACGAGAGAAAATAAACACATTAACGGAAGACAAAACGTAGTCATGATAATGACCTTCTGTCTCAGTTTTATAGGCAGTCTGAGTGTGCATGATTATAGTGTTGAATTGCCTACTCTGGTGGCAAGATAGCCTGCATACATGGTGTGATGTATGTAACAATAGGTTGATTAAATTGTAACTATTTATTGCTCTCATGGTGCTATGAGTAAAACTGGTCTTGTCAGCAACAATGTCTAGACTTATAGGAGTATGTCATAACAAGATTAAAACCTAGTTGTTTTCTACGTGATTGTTTCAAGACAAATCAAGCAGAAAAATAAATGTAGCTCAATTCATATATAGTCCATGAATATTTAGAATAAAAAGCATAATTTTATATTGATGCTATCATGCTTCCTTTTGAATGCTTGTAAGTGGTCACAGGTACACATGATTTTAGCCCCAATTAGTTATGACGAATTCAAAAGTTGTAGAGATGAGAGGTATCTGGAAATTGAAACCTTTGGAATCTGATGATGCATTTTAAAGTTTTTTTGTGGTGTTTTTTTCATATTGTGTTGCAAGCTTTGATTATTTACTACATTTTAAGCGATAGATTAAATAATATGCAGCAATATTACACTCATATAGGACCATGAACAATGAATGTTATATAGTATAGAATAATGTATGGTCAGATAGTGAAGACACAGCATGTTGTTTTTGTGTTGTCTGTTGTCAACTTTAACCTTGCCCATAATTATTGCACTATAAGAGGTAGGGCTTTCATATTTGACAGGTGTCTCTTGTGATAAGACCTTTTCAGTGGTACCAAAAGTTTTGACCAAGGCCATGAAATTTGATCCACATTTGAAATAACTATGACCATTGCTTTCATATTTGGCATTTGTGTTCCTTGTGACAGGACCTTTTCCGTGGTGCCAAAATTTTTCACCATGTGACCTTGACTGTGACCATTGCCCTACATTTGAAAGTGGAAAAAGGCCCGGATACCATAATGAAGACAAAAGTTTTTCACAAAATGTTCATGCCATTAGCACATGTCTTACACAGCACAGTTTCAATATCCCACTTCAGAAATTTGTTGCAACTGGGGGCAAAGTGTTTCTTAAACACATCTTGTTGTTCTTGCAATCCACTTCAATGTAGATATTGAAGCGGTAGATTGATTTTAGCACTTTTCATGCTGAAAGTATTGCGTTAACATAGCATTGCGCAAATTGCAGTTCACAAATTATGTTTATATAGGAAACATCGTGGTTTAAGAAATTCATAATTTCGATAATTTGATAAAAATGACAAAAAACAAACAAATAAAAAAGAAAAATAAATAAACGCAAAATAAAAATTAAAAAATGAGAATGTGCTAAAATTTGATTACACCAAAATTAGTACATGGTGTATAAATATATATGTTTCATAAAGAAAATGAAATAATCATTTGTAAAATTTCAAACTTTATCCAATAACAACGAGACTTGGAGAACATCTCTGTAGTGCCGTCTACATCGATTGTACTTTTATGATAAGTAGTTACTCACGTGAGGTATGATGATAAATTATTTTTTGATAGTTCATGTTAATTGACGAAAGGACATTTTAACAGAAAATCTGACAAGTGCTTTTTTCGCTAATGGATGAGTTGACATTTTCCAAGATTACAGGAAAAAAATGAAAATAATTTATGAATTTTCTGTCTTAAAGAAGGAAGATAGAGAGACAAGATAAGATTTGAAAAAGGACATATACACTATTTGCAATCTTCAAAAACCCGGAGTTCTGCCAAGGATGATGATATACAACAACGAGAGAGAGAGAGAAAAGAGAAGGCATGCTGAGTGGCGATGAAGGGTGGTGTCTGCTTGGGGGGTCCAAATTACACCTCGTACATAGGTAAACTGTTTTCTTAGCCATAACATGGTCGGTGCGCACGTTTTACAATTAAACAGTTAAAAGAAGATAAAAGGGATAATCTAACATACAGAAACCACTCTTTACGAGCACGTACATCTAATTTGTAATTCTGAGTGATTACACAAACAATTAGAACTAATAATACAGATAAAATAAATGTCATTTATTTTTCGTTAAATAATCGAAAGTTTTCAAGGACACATAAATATATATACAAAAAACAGGACTGAAAAAAAGTGCTCGTAATAGCGGGGTGGTCGTATTTTTGAGGTGGTCGTTAGGTGAGGTTTCACTGTATATGGAAGCTTATCATCAAAGCTTATTTAGCATAACGAAGTGTACATTTCTTTTCAAATAACATATTAACGAACCTGAACTAGTTTTAACTATTATGATCGCACACTTGTTGATATATCTATTTTTAGATGTATTTATTATTAACTTTTATATCATTTTCTCGTTACATTGAATCAGCAGTAACAACAAGCACGTAATTGAAATTGGATATAGAAACAAGTTTTACAATTTATGTAAATCCAACTCCAGTTAGAGAAAACGCAATCTAAATCAAGGACATAAAATACCATAGTATGTGAGAAGAGAAAAAAAAGTAATGCTCATAGGATATTGTCTATAGGAGTAGAGGAGGGAGAAAGGGGGTCGCTCAGACATACCATAATACAAATCTGAAATATATACTAAGTGCAATATATATAAAGTTCACAGTGAATAAAAGACCTAGACATGCGTGTATTGAAAGAAAATAACGAACACTCATTCAAATTTTCGATCCGAGGATAAAATTTTGCGTACACGAAAAAAAAAATAGCGCATTTTCATCGTTTGATAACTCTTCATCACAGAATTAGAGCAATTTAGTTGGAATTGGGCGATTTATTGCAGCAAAGGCACGTGCACGCATTTGACGGGAAAGACTGCTATGTAACAAATAGTGTTCATTAGTCTCTTCGTTTTCCTTTCACGAACATTAAGAGCTATCAAGGAGATTTCTACAATATAAGTTGAATCTTAAAGAGCTACACTCCTATCTTAATCTAGAGTGGTGGATTTGATCCATCCTGCTACCGATATAATAGAAAGGTTATACTTTGTGGGAACGATCAAAGAGACGATTTTTAAGTCTAAGAATCGGTGGATCATTTTAAATTAAGTCTGACAAGGAATTCCAAAGTTTACTTTCAGAAGGCAGAAAAGACAGGGACTTGGGCGACCCGTCACGGGTATGGTGATCGTGGATACGGTTGTTACGTTAGGAAGGATGTCTTGTATGTATTGTGGGGCGAGACTGTGAATCATTTTTTGAAAACAGAAACAGGTACTTTTATGATATTAGCGTCTTTGTTCCAATGGCAACCAGTCTGTTTCTACATTTAATTTTGCTTTGCTAGTTAGCCTTGTGTCACCACTAACTATACACACTGCTTCTAATCGGAGATCTTCCACTAAGCCTGATAGGGCTTTAATTAGATTGTCCCAAACACTATCACCATACTCTAACACAAGCCGAATGAGGAAGAAATACATAGTTTGAAGACATCTGCGATCTAATGTAAATTTAAATTTCCTCAAAATGTAAATTTCGGGTAAGATCTTCAATTTAATGTAAACATGTTCGTTCCAGTAACCATTCCCTGACGACAACAACAGGTCAAGATGTTGTGTGAAGCAACTTCAGTAATGTGAATATGACAGTATTATTCGTGAAAAGGTAAGACTAGAGAGGGGTAATATATTTCCTATTTATTAAAACAGTTTCAATTTCAGCAGAGTTAAAATTTCCAACAATTTCTCGGACCAATCATGGATTTTACTAAGGTCGTTATTCAAAATGTCGGCACCGACTCTTGATGAGTCAATGACGGTGTACAAGGAGTTGTCGTCTGCTAATAATTTTGTGATTGTATTTGTATCTTGAGCAATATCAATGATAAGAATTAAGAACAAAAGAGGCCCAAGAATGGAGCCCTGGTGAACACCAGCTTTCACTTCAGACCAATTTGAACTTTTGCCGTTGACAACGGCTCTCTGTTTACAATTATAAATATAATTTTCAAACCAATTTAGTAGTGAGTCCCGAATTCCAAAGCTTGAAAGTTTCAGAAGAAGACCCTTGTGCCAAACCCGGCGTACTTCAAATTATCATCGGTATAAAAATCCGTTTAAGAAGCGAAACCTTAATTTACGTTTCCAATGGCACAATATTGGAGCATCAGACAGGTGAATACTAGCTGTATGTGGATGTTATAGGTCCCATCATGTGATACTGAGAGTTAATTTATATTGTACGTGTGACAGGGCGTTACATATCTTTATGCTTGATTATTTTCTGTTATCATTTGTGATGTGTACATTTGTGCGCGTGTATATGAAAATATAACTTGAACACGACAACTACATAATGGATAATCATGGTATTTAATTTCTCTTATCGCTGATTCTTTAAAAAGAAAAGTACATCTTTATGAAGTTTATGTAGAGGTTATCTGAAATTTCAATATAAAACTATCAACACATAGGATTAATTTGTTCAACGTTAGTTATATAATATAGAAAATATTGAAGGATAAAATTGAATGTGGACAATTTCTTTCTTACATAATATATCATATGAATGCAATGGACATATTGAAAATATTAAAACCCGATGCATATGGGATCATGGAGAGTAATGTTCTCTGAAACATTTAAACAGGCCATTGTGTACAACAAAATTTTAACATTGACCAAGAAAAGGCAAGTTTAGATTAAAACATTAAAGTTCAAGATTGCTTCGGTTACATCTGACCGAAACAAAAATTCAAATAGGCACAAATAGTGCCTTGGCACACCGAATGGAACATCACAAAAACTGCCAGATCTTCCTCTTCCATCATTCGACTACCCTCAACATCCTTCTCTGAGGACAGGAAATGAATCTGAAATATCAACAACACTGTCAGTGGTAGATATAATCTAACGGAAAACTGTACGCTACCTTTTGTTCGTTAGTTTACTTTTAACAATGAATCCGTCAACAACTAAAACCGGAGCCAAAAATTTTCATTCAATATATAAAACAACTAAACGACGGAAAAAGGATATCGCAGCATCTCTACTTAATAAGACGTATTTGAGGATTGAATGTATTGTAATATTGTATCTGTGATCACTGATAAATGTTCTTCTAATAACTTATAAATAAACATTCCTAACTCTTACACCATCTCTCGGGATTAATTGCAGTCATATAGACATGAACGCATTTCTGTCAATGATACGTTTATTCTTTTCTTCCTGCGTCAAATAAACGTTTCTCTCAATGGATAGCAAATATTAAAACATAGTTTTAGAGGAAGAGTAGGACACAAATCTACCTTCTTATCAACATCTGTCAACCTTTTTCATCCTGATGAATACCCTACCTACATACCTAGCGAGGAACTGGGTACCAATAGTTGATCTGGCGCTGGATACAAAGTGGAAACAGCACCATGTGCTTCTCTTCAAACTGGTGACAGAATTTCCTCTGCCAGTAGAGGTCATCTCGGGGAAGCTCTTTTGTAAGCACCATGGACAACTCGAGTCCATAGTTGAACAATTCCATTGCTTTTGCTCGGGCGGCGAAATTGGCTTTGTTCCTCTTCCGAGATCCGGAGGGCTTCCACAAAGATCTTCGTTTGACCTGACAGGGTACAGTTCCGCAGTGAGGACAGCGTGCAGGACCTAGACAAGAACATGACGTGTACATCATGATAGAGGAAATAGGATGTAAAGTAAATATAACAAAAAGAGGACGGAATCTCATCAGACAATATTACTTACGAGTCCTCCATTCGTGGATCATCGACATCATGATTGAGTATCCCTTTCTGACACGTCTCCCAATGGCTGGAGCGTTCCTTAACAGCAGGCTTACAAGGGCACAGAGAAGAGTACACAACATCTCATTGCCAATTCGCTGAAATGAATTAAACATGCATTAAATCTATTTTCCGAATATAAATAGTGATTGTTACAGACAATAGATAGACTGAAATCGTCAGAGATAAAGAAGATCATATCCTTACCATTGTAATATCGACAGGCCTTGGACAAACTTTCTCGAATTCCGTTGCGGTGAAATAGTGGTAAAATCTTTGGACATATCCGGGCTCGGGCTCAACGCTGAATGGAAAAGAATTTTAAAGGTGAAATGTTTCTTTAAATAAATGTAGCATTATTTTAGTAAGCTCTCGATAGCATTGGATTCTACTTAGAATATCGTGCGTCCGCCAAACTAGTCAAGATATTGACATCATAAAGAAAACTTGCTTAACTTACCATACAAGGCACTGGTATACACCGGGACCTTGTTGCATTACGCTCAGCATTACCACAAATAGCAGGAATAACCTTATATCCATTGTGGTAAGCCAAAAGTTTACAATAAAAAGTAAAATTCAGGGGAGAGACTCATCATCTCCGCCTTCACTGATTGCTAAGCAGCTTAGCAACTGAAGTATGACGTCACAAATGGCTTCTAATTATGACGTCATGCATATGTTTATGAATTAATGAGGGGTAAACTGTTGCCGTTGACGCTACGAATGTTACTCTGCTGAACCAAGAAGTATAATTGGGATCCCCGAATCATCTTACATTCTATTCAGCAATATCTATGGTTCCTGTTAATCTTGGCCTAATATTTCTTACGCATATTTAGACTGAATGGAACAGTTCATCACATGTATAAACATTGACGTAATTATGTCACATGTAACAAAATCTCATCAAAACAACAGAATAGAGAGAGAGGGTTGGAGAGAGCGAGAGAGAGAGGGGGGAGAGAGAGAGACGGACAGACAGACTGACAGACGGACGGACGGAGAGACAGACAGACAGCAAGTTATAAGTAGTCAAATGAAAGAAGAAAATTTTATCTTTTAAACCGACTGCTAATATTATTTGAGTCCTGTGACACATGATCAGTGGTCGGGGCGAAACAATTTCTAAAATATCCGCAAATATGAAACTTTGCGCTAGAAAACGATATTTGGTACATGTCTTATGTATTCATCTACTTTATACGAATAAATTATTTTAAGAATGAAAAGAAAATGTATGTATATGAAAATATCCAAGGTGAGCTTCGAACTCTTGACTCACTACCGATCACCTCGTCACGGTTCGCCTCTACTTTCATTTTACGATTACCTAGCCTTGTCATTGATGAATTCCCATGCAACTCATTCGTATGGGTTATATTATACATCTTCCAGATCTGTGAACTGAAAATACTGATGAACAATTTGATTTAAATTGCTTCAAACATATCTTATTGCACATAAGTAGCAATAGGATTTTACAACTTATATAAAGCCCTTTCAAATATATTAATACACACACATTATATTTACAAGGTGGTAGTATGATATAAACATACAAACAATTGTAATCATGTTTAGAGAAAACGAGTGGGTGGTGGAGGAGGCGTATAACACGTACTTTGTATGTTTAGAATACACTGTATATATGTAGATCATGCATCTATCACAAAACAGGTGATACACTGCCCACATGTCTAAACTCACAACTTGTCAATGTCTATCACTTCCCGTGACCAACAAACATTTGTTGCCAAATCAGTGTTCTACATCAACGCTAGTCTCTCAACGCCGCCATCTTGTTACCGCGAGCCAGGAAGCAGACGTCGTTTGAACATGATTTCGGGACTAAAACGTCATTTTCCCTAAAATTGTGTTTTTGTATTAAAAAGAAATTTATTTGATTGTAAAAAATAATCAAGTTTTACAATACTAAATCTTTCAAACGTTAAGACGTCACAGACAACCCAACGAATATGGCAATGAAAGGAAAAGGTCGACACGCATTTTAAATAGCGTATATTTCATCAAGTAAACTTTGTACAATGTCCGCGATTGGTCAGATCGTCTAATCAAGTCACGATGTATTCAGATCAGTTGTAGTCAAGTCCCTACCGCCATGAGTAGAGATGAGTCGAACTTGATCAAAGTCAATATTACCATCATATACCATAAATCGTGTTAAATATATATTGTCATTATGTCTGTGTCTCTGTCGCAGGATGTTCCTAGATGAGTAAATGGTGTAAGTATACAAATATAACGGTACCCTCAGCCTTGTGGGACTGGTTTACACGGACATTGAAATCGGAGTGGCAGGATAGATATCATGATGATGCTAATCACTTTTCCATTCTAATGATTTTTAAAATGTCGTTATTTTGCACATACAAACACAGACTACGATGCAATATCGGGTTATAAGTACTTTTATACTTTCATATTTTTTTAATGGTTACCGGGGATAGACACGGCGACAATTTAAGTACAGTAATTGTATATGAATACTTATTAGCGATTAGCTTGTAATGAAAATAACAAGTATCATATATGTTTGATACGGACAGAAATGCCATTGTTGTATTGGGTGAGTCCCCAGTTGGTCCTAAATGAAATTTGGACCGGCTAGACATTTAAAATGGTCATCATGGCAGCAATATTCACATAAAAATTGTTTCTCCTGAAGGGATATTCGGATCGGGACAGATCTTCCACCATTGAGTTGTATATGGTCAACAGATGGTTCTTATAAAACCGAACCCGTACGACGTTCAAATGGACGCTATAGTCACTCTACTGAAAATCATACTCCTCTTGAAGAGAAGGTCAAATGATACTTTTAGCTTAAAACCTCGAGGAAAAGTCTCAAGTAATCAGATAAAAACCAATCTCATAGTCTTCAGCAGTAACAGAACACCAGTTCTGTAACAAACTCCAGAAAAGTCAATAAAAGATATAGATACGCCAGAAATACAAGGATGTGGACATACATATGTGATGAAACAGCAAGTTTGGTTTTATTTATACAATACGTCATTGTAGGAATAAGTCGTGTCCTTGTACAGGTCCCATGCAAGTTATTTGATTCATAATTTATTTGTAAAATATTTTACATGGAAGTGAAATTTGGCAATTCAAATTACACTTCCGGGGAAAATCTGGAAAACTTCGAGTTTAGGCAATGCGTTCTCAGAAAGTAGTCAAATGTTCTTACGTTTATCTGTTGTATTTTATGCTCTATATCGGCAATATTTGTTTTTCCGGTGAGAATTTGGCCGGAATGTCACGTACGAGTAAAATGAATGTCTGCGAACTATTGGCACCATTGAACTAGACATCTCAGAATAAAGTGTCAAGACAGTTTGAGTTGTACATAATACGATAAATGCTTTATGGAGACGTGGTAGGTATCGCCCACAAACAGGCGTCCGAGTGTGACGTCACGACGGAAAGATACGATTTACTGATGACGTATTTCAACAATCGGTTTCAATCCTCTTCGTAGAATCATTATAGGACTTAGATATGTCAGTTCAAAAACCGTTCAAAACAGACTGCAATATGTCAACATCCGCTTAGAGTTCAGTTTTGCTTCAATGTCAAATAGCTGCTCTTTAAATATGGTTCAGATGATACCTCCGATTCACTAAAAGGGACTGGTCTAAAGAGCTATTCACAGTTTCACCTTGATAACAGTGACGGTGTTGCTTGGGTGTATTGTCGGTCGGGAGAACATAACAGTGATAAACTTGTAATATAGCGGTGTCAGTTCGACAGAGGGAGCACTATGATTTGAAGTTATTACAACGCAATTGAGAACCCCTTTCGTGTTAGTGGAGGCCAATATGACCGGTGTGCGCTACCGTGACGAAATTAGACGTCATCACGTCATTTCATTAAACCGTAATAGCAGAGTAGCATCGCTTTGCACAGCAAGACCTCATGCTGCACGTGTTGCTGGGGCATATCTTCAGCACCAGAACATAACCATGCTTTCTTGACCATCTGTGTCACAACCATGCTTCCTTGGCCATCTGTGTCATAACCATGCTTCCTTGACCATCTATGTCACCAGATTGGTCTACTATCAGGCATGTTCGGGATGAAATGGAGCGACGCCTGCGTCTGGAGCCAAACCCTCCCGTAACATTGGGACGCAAACATCGTACAATGCCAGACTTATAACGGAACATTTGTGTAGCGTTTCTGCTTAGTTTGATCTGTTCTATCGGTTGTAGATGACTTGTAACCAATAGGAATGATGGACATACACAGTAGGAACTGGATTTGTATTTCACCCTACTTAAATCCCTATACATTGATTCACTGTGTCATTATACTGATAATGCATTGTAAAGAACGTTTGGTACAAATGTAACATTATTTTGTGTATGAATCTAAAAGGAATAGAAAGTCACAATACACACTATTTTACCCCTGTTGGAACAAATAAATGAACTCTCACAACAAACGAAAGCCACTGTTCCATGAAATCAACCAAAGCAAGATTCAGTGCATATATTTCAGAAAACAAGGTTTGTTTTCAACGATCTGAACAAGTCCAAATGTTTAAAACTTTATGACGTTTTCTTACCCGAGATTTCTTTTCAAGATGGGAAATTGAATATGTTACCTCTTCACTCGTTACAGTAACTGTGATTAAAAGGGAAAAGAAGATGATTTAAATATCACAATCGAGACAAATGCATGTTTGAATTAGTCTTCGAAGTCGAACTAAAAGTTTCGAACAAAACCGTAGAAATTAGCTTTGCGCATTATGTAACAATTCTTATCTCCCAGAGTTACTTCCCTTCATTTCATTCTGTCAGCTGATGGGACCGAAACTGTACGTGTACTGACGTCATTGAAATTTCCAGTTACTATTTAGAGTCTAGGTCGTGAAGTTGTGGTGACGACATCTTGTGCAGGTATTCATCAGTTTCAGATTACAATTCCAGTTTGTCGAAACCTGTGTCAGACCTCTTGGCCGATCACTGATTTTCTTAGTCAAATAACAACAGTAATATATGTCCTTTGTGGGATCGATTGTATCCTGAGCTAAATGAGCATGAGGTCGTATACTCTGCCAAAAACTTGTACAACGAATTTATCATACTGCAAAGTAAATGACCCAACATGCAACAACACAGTTATATCAAAGACAGCCCCGTCAACCAACCGGCCGGAAATGTTTTCTTTCCTAAAGAAGGTCAAAAGTCAAAAGTCACCGTGACCTATTTCTGATACTTGAGAGTTACCAACTTCTTATGGTGAACCCGAGCGTCTTCTTCAATATTTGGGGTAAGAGAAAGCTTAGATTTAATGAAGGCCAAAGGTACAGATGGCAGTGACCAACATCTGGTGCATTTCCACACATTAAAGACTCCTAGTCAAACCGTGTATCACATAATAAGGTACGTCGTTATGTTAATAATCAGCGTTGTATTAACACGTAGGATAGTGTTACGAGTCTCAAATGTGTATTTACTACGTGACGACCAATCTCTGCCAGAATGCATTGCAATACCTTTATAGTGTGA